ACCTATGACACTCGACATTGCCAGTAATATAAACTCCCCGGTCTACTACAAATTCTACTACAAATTCTACTGTTCCTTTACCCGCCACTACTCAAATTCGAAGTAAGTTGGATTAGTTCACTTCAAATTTAAAATCATCTCGATAAAAAAAACTAATCTTAATCTATATTTTATAGCTATCACTACTGGTACAGGTAACGATGCATCAGTAGTAGTGATCACTCAAACTGCATTTGCTCCCACTTCTACATCAGATGCTAATACATCCAATTCAGACAATCATTCATCAGCAAGTACATCCAAAATCATTGCCATCGCTATCCCATCAGCCATTGGTGGATTAGCAGCCATCATCATCTTGATCTTAGGCATCCGAGCACTCTTACGTAGATCTGCAGCAAGACGAGCCGCCGATGATATTCGTTGGCCAGAGACGGTGACCTCAGAAGGAGATCGAGCTGCACTTTATCCTGAACCGACGCGTCCTTCTCCGGGTCATGGATTAGGTCTTGCCGAAGAAGAAGAAGAACATCCGAGCCCCGAGATGAATATGGCAGGTGCAGGTGCAGGTAGATTGAGACCGGGTGCTAGTATTGGTCCTACTCGTTCACATTCTGCTACTACTACTGGACTTAGTGCTACTTCACACTTCCAACCATACGAATATGGTAACACACCTGATTACTTGTTACATGGAATCCCACCACCACCACCGCCACCATCACATTTACCTTCGACTCTAATGCCGGCTTATGGACTCAGTCCGAGTCAAGCACAAAAAGGTGTAGTGACTTATCCACCTGATTGGGCTCAAAACCATCATCGAAACGGATTTGGAAGCGAACATTCACCTGAGATGATGGCCCGAAGTAATGGACCGACTCGAACGAGTTTAGTTTATCCTAATGAATCATACGCTAATTGGGAACAACCAAGAGATCAAGATGAAGCTGATTTAAATCATCAACCATATACTTCATCACCTTCATCACCTCCACAAGCTTATTTATTACCTCCTATTAATACGAGTAGTAATCCTTCTAGATCAACATCTTCTCATCGACAAACCTCATCGAATGGAGAAAGTGGAGACGTTCAATCTGGTTTGAATAATTATCATCAGCGTCAAGTTGAGGGACCAAGAGAACTTCAGTATGCTCCGTATTCTCATGGTGGGTATGGTGGTGGAGAGATCAATGAAGAATCGCATCAGGTCTTGGATCATCATCATCATGAACTTGATCATCATCATCAGGATGACTCGGTTTCGATTCATTCGGATCTTAAAGGTTCACCTGAATGGAAATTAGGGGTTAATAATCCAGATACAGATTAAAGATTTCTTATGATTCTGATCATCATTCTTTAGTCTTTTTTCTTTGGATTGGGTTTGACTTTTTTTTGAAAGGATGGAAATGAATTTGGTTTTCTTTGGATTTGAAATTGGTTAACTTTTTTTTTCTTTAATAGAATGAAGGAATTGATGGATTGGTTGTTTCATTTATTTATTTATTTTTATTTTCATTTACTCGTTTTTCTTTTATGATCATCTTCTTGATTGTTTTATTAATCTTATCATGCTGATCATTATTATTGTCATCATCATCATCATCATCATCATGCCGAAGACGATGAATTGTTTGTTTTTCTTTAGATTAGTTTGATTATCATTATTGTCTTTCTAATGGATTTGCTTAGTTTGTTTACTTTTTTACTTTTGTTTGTTTATTGGTAACATCATTGATTTCTTTTCTCTTTATAAACCAATCTCAATTTGTTGATTTTCTTTTTGCTGATCAAGTTAATTCATATGTTTTCTTTTACTTTTAGTCGTGTTTATTTTTTGTTGGTTCAGAGAAACCTTGAAATGTTTGTTCAATTTCTTTTTTTGGTAGTGGTGGTTTTTTTTTTTTTTTTTTTTTTGATAGTCTTTAATGAAAATCTTTTAAAGTTCTCTTTTTTATTTAATGAAAGGATATGTGATTTTTTTTCTGTTATTGAACAAAATGTTGATAAAAATTGAAGAATTGAATGTGTTTGAAATATAAGGTTCGTTGATGGGTTTTTGGAGTTGAAAAGTTTTTTTCATTGGAGTTTTGGTGTTTGAGTCTTCAATGAAAATTGAAATGTGTGTGAGGTGATTTATTGAGGATATTAAATTTTAAGGTATTACATACTCAGTTTGTGGATGTCATAGTTCTTAAAACCTTCAGAAGCTATCAACTTTCCAGAAACTCTGTCTTTGAGTATTAGAGATGAAAACCTGGTGAAAGTTTTATAAAGATCATCTACCTACTAGCTGCAGACTTTGCTTGTTCCGACCATCACAGACTCATTTCATTTGTTCATATTCCTCTGTCATCACAGTAATATCTTCAGTCATCCGTCCATGAAAGTTCAATCAATATTGCGCAATGAACATTCCATTTACCATTTTACCCTTTCATGGGATCATAGGCATCATGATTACTGCTCTTGCTGAAAGTGGAGTGAAGGCTAGTCATGACGCTCATGATGGTTATGAGTTCGTATTGGGTGTAAATTGAGCTGAACTGATGTGAACTGATGTTCAGCCTTTCCAAAATGGTCTAGATGAACTCGAAGTAAGTAATATGAATTGTTCACATATTTTATGATGACATTATAAGGCAAAAGAATCCTTTGTAAACAAAATACAACAAATACATCATTGAAAAGTGAAAGGATTCGAATGAAAATCGGTTTCTCTTGATAGAACATGTGTATCTGAACTTGAAGTGATGACTAGAGAGAATAGTACAAGATATATATATTTACAATTTTAAAACAATTGATAGAATACCTTTTGAGAAATCTTTGTATGAATGATCAGTATATCATATAATGATTTCTTACACTCCACAAAAGAATAACTTGAGACAAACAGAAATACCCAAAATGTCGACCAAAACCCCGAAGAAAAAAAAATTATAACTTGGAAATCTTGTCTTTTGTTTACAAAAAACTCAAGGTGATCTGATTTGAGGTTTTGTTTGATGATGATGATGAGATGAATCTTGATGAAATCTAATTCCAACAGCAGAAATCAATAAAGCAGTACTAACTTGTTGAGAAGGTAAATCTTTTTTAAATTTTCCATCCATCAAACCCGAATTCCAATTCCCATTACAATTCCAATCTAAATCACAAGAATGGCTGACCATAGAATTAACTGAAGTGAAGATTAAATTACTGATTTCGGTTTTGACTTGAAGATCATTTGTAAATTTGTAAAGATAAACTAAATTAAGTGAAAAGATTCCTTTGAATGCATGTTGATCTCGATGACAATTTTGATCGTCTTCACAAAGTTCAGTAATCACACCTGATCTTTCTGGTCCAGCAAACGTCTTGATAGCAAAATCAAGAAAAGGTATCGCCATATCTAGATACTTCTAAAAAGTGATCACACGTAAAAGATGAATAGAAAACCAAACAACAAACTAGGTATCAAGATTCAAAAGTCTCAAGTAGGATCATAAATCAAAGAAACTACTTACCTGTAATTTAGTTGCTTTGTGCATCCATGCAAGAGCACCAATCAATTGACCATAACTATAAGTCCAAAGTAATTCAGTATAATCACTACAATTCGTGGTCGAAACTCCGTCCAAAATCAAACCTGTCTTAGGATTACTAATCCCAGAAGTAAGAACCCAATCTAAGATCTCTTTTGATTGAGAAAGGATCGTTTCATTCTTAGTCAAGATATAGGTGGTGGCTCCTTGTGAGATGAACTCTAGTTGAGTGATCACAGCTTTATATGTTCCTGCTTTCGTATTCCGATTTCGATACTGAGAAACATGTTGTTCATGAGATTCAATACTTTCTAGTTTGAACTCCATAGGATTATTTGGTATTTTGCTTACCCAATAAACACCACCACCACATTTATTATCGATTTGCTCGGCGGCTTGATCAAATGTTTTAGTAGCGAGTGAAATCCAACTTCCTCCTGAGTTTCCCATCGTAGAATTAGGACCAAAAAGTTTTGCTCCAGAGACCACTAAGAAAAAGAAATGTGTTTGAGACTAAATGAACCAAACTTGGGAAAAAAAGTGAACAAAACAAATTTACCTGCCTACGATTCAAGAAAAAATTAATCAGTATCACATATTTGGTTTTTTTTGGGCGAAAAGAAATATACATGATCAAATCAGGTTTTTAAAAAACTCTTACTTGACTTGCCCATAAGATATCATCATTCCATCTTTCAGCGATCTTAGCCGTAGAATTGATTAGATCACCACCTAAGAAATCACTATACAAAAAATGTAAAGGATGTTTTTGATGGTCAAGATCAGAAATCCAAAAAATGATGCTTTGAAATCAATGATCACTTACTGTTCTTTTCCATATGACATGTTAGTTAAAGCTTCGGTTGAAATATTCACAAATTGTTCATCTTTTGACCATCTTGCGTAATCGAATAATGAACCCCAGATCACAGCTGATGTCCACCAGGGAATTTGAGCTTCATCAAAAACACCAGTCTAATTCAAAAAAAAAAGAAGAAATATCAATATAAAGAATAGTTTAACAACGAAATATCTAGACAAAATTTCCTTACAGGTGTAGGTGTATAATATTTTAATAAGTTTTGAATTGAATTGATAGTAACTTGTTTTAATTCTTGCTTATTGTTTATATCTAATTTCAAAGAATGATTAGAAATCGAATCAGATGTAAAACTTGAATTGATTTTAAAAATGAGTAAAAAAATCAAATTTAGAATGAGATTGTAATACAACATGATTAAGATGAAAAGAAAAAAGAAAAAGAAAAAGAGAAAGGAAATGAACAAAGAGATCTAAAGAACAGAGAAAGAAAAAAAGATTGTTAAAAAAGAAGGATAATACAAGTTGGGTTTAGGCTCAGAGACGAGGAGATGGTAAGACGAGAATTCGAGAGTACAAGTTGGAGAAAAAATTGAAATTTGATGATGTTCGAAAAGAAAAGGCGAAGAAAGAATTCATCACCACTCACATTTTTGTTCTATTAAATTGTCTTCAGACCCTCAGTTTTAGGGTCTGCACGAATAGATTTGATTCGTAAAAGTCCTTTAAAGGGTTCAAGATGAGACGGATGAGTGATAATATCATCCAAAGTGTTCAACTGATGGTAGGTTTGGATGAACGCGGAGGTGATTCGAATGTATGCTCAAACCACCCGTTAGGAAATCGTTCGAAATATAGGTCTTACCGATCAAATCTGGCATCGCTCTTGGTATTTCTGTTCCCCTCTTGACCGTTTTCTAAACTTCACTTCCAGAACCGAATTGTAACCTCTTTGCAAGTGCAATATGAACTATAACACTACAGTGTTAAGATCCAAGCTCATCCTGCATGGTCGCCGAAATATCCTACATGGTCGCTTCAACGAAGGATAAAATGACCGGTTGACGGGTGCTCGGAGTGGAGAATGGATAAAGGTATGATTTAAAAAAAGGTGAAGAAGGAAAAAGGCAAAAGACCCCTTGGATTTAGGAAACGAGGACAAGGATGTACTACAATCCGCCCGCACCCGGACGCTCAAGGGCGTACAAATTTTTATGAGTAAGTCTCACTCAAGAAATCTGTCTAAAACACATAAAGTATGTCACTACCACTGCCAGTAAGCATTCCCAGGATATCTTTTTTTAGTGAGGATCCACAAATTGTCAGCATCACAAGAGAATCCGATGTTTGTTCATGTTAAGGAAAAGTTCAAAGACATTTTTTCACAAGACCTTACAGGATTTTTATTCAAGCCAATCTCAACCTAAGAAGGGTTACCAGACTGTACGATTATAAGATAAACGAACTGATAAACAAGCAGGGAAAATCTGGTAGACAAAGAACCAAAATCCACGCAAGAATCATTCAAGTGACTTGAAACTTTGAATCGAAGGAGAGCTTAGCATTCAACAAAGTCATCTTGCATATTGTTCTCTTTACGGGGATGTGCTTTGGGACACACTTTCGAAGATCTTATGAGTCCAAAGACAGTTGTCATAGTCTGACATCATCACAACCTCACTTACAGAGTTGTCTTAGTCTGCTGTTGTGCGTGCCTTCCCATTCAGCTTTTCAGGCTTGGGACATTACACTCACAGAATCCCTTCACTACTTTTATCTGATACAAATACCAAGTCAACTTATACAGAAAAGAGCGCTATGATATGCAGATATTCGAGGCATGTGGACGAGATTCTTTGCCTTCGACAAATAAATGGATGAATGGTATAATCTGATTTCATAATAACATTGTACGCCAATATTTTTCAATCCAAGTCTTCAGCAAACACAGGTTGACACCTCCTACCCCGCATCAAAGCCAATTCTATTAAAATGCGGGAAAAAGTGTGATCTCGAATTAGTATGTTATTACCTTTTAAACCTGATAAAAGAGATAACAAGACCAAGTCACTGACCATCTCCAGTACGCATCCCGATCCCCTTTTCAAGCCGTCTACCTTTTCCTCCAAATCCATCTCCCATACCTAACCCAAGAGAAAAACCCGCATTGAAGAAGATTAGGATGGATATACGATTTGATTGAAATGGTTTAAAGAGTCATGACTTACCAATCGGAGCACTTCCACTCTGTAACATCATCAAGGTGAGTTTGATGACATTCATCGGATTATTACTTCGAGTGACTTTAGCACTTAGATCCGAAATCCCTGCAGCTTTAGCCACTTGATGAACAAATGGATTGACACGTAACCCAAAGCCTAAGAAAAGATGATTGGTATCCCATGAATTCTTTCGATTTCCCGAATCTCTTAAAGCCAAGATGATCATGATAGGAAAACAAACCAGCTGGTCTAGGTCTCATGACGATTTCAGTAGCATGAAACTTTGATCGAAGTTCCGTATGAATCGTACGTCCTTCAAAAAGGTTCACAGGTGATAAATTCCTAATAGCATTTCTAAGAGCTTTTGTCGAAGCTCCACCAATCGTTTCACTCTTTCCTTCACCATACCCCACCAATCCATTCCCATTTCCAACAACCACTAAAGTATACATACTAGGAATCTTTCCTTTCCCGGTTTGATTAACCACTCGTTTGACAACCAAAGGATATTTGTGTAGTGATTTGATGTCACGATCGGTTAATGAGTTGGGAGGTAATGATTCGATGATCATCTCATTTCCACCTTTTCCAAGTGATTGTCTTACTACTTCATCTGGTAAAGGTTCGAATGGTGGTTTCGAACCAAAGAAGATTTGATGATATGGACCTGATTCGGATGGATGAGGATCCAAAAGATGAGAAAAGAGAGAGATATCAACTTCAGCTTCAGTTGGTTTGATTGAATGTGATTTTGATTGGTTTTGATTTGATTGAGATGAGATTGAATGAGATGAAGATGAAGTTGATCGATTGAAGTTGATTGGTAGCCTATGCTGAGTATGATTTGATTTTGATAGATAGTGAGTGAATGATCTTAATATCGAATTACTTGAACTAATGTTAATCGATGTCATCTTGCTCTTCAGTCTTGAGGTTCATTGAGAAAAATAAAAATTATCAAAAATTGAAATCGATCAAATGGAATGTGTTACTCGAGTACCGACCAGTCCTTAGCCCCGATGAACTGAATATCAAACTCATCTTGACTGTCTCTATCTCGGTCTGACGATCTGTTTGCGCATTCTACAATAATATTTTGCATTGAAGCCATGTCATCAACATGATCTCATCCAATGGAACTTGAACTAATCGACTCATTCATATTTAATGTGAGTTCTATACTGTTGAAGTAAGGGAACAACTACACCTTACTTCAACAAGATTTATAATAGTTCATCAAACTACAATCCAAGATCTTCTTCGCTAATCTCATCCCTGCCTTTTCAATCAGAACTTTATGAAAACTATTTAAGAGATAGATCATTCAAATATTCAACACTTCAAGAACCATCAAATTTATATATTCATCTTCAATCTTTATTATCATTAGCTCAAGGAAATGACTAATTCTGAAAGACTTACCAGTCGTCGTCTGATGGCTACTCGGGCTTCGAGAAATGACGTAGAAGAACATTCAGTTATAGGTCTCAACTCGATTTCAAATCATGATTCAGTTCCAAGTAGTCCACCTAGTAGCTCACTTTCTTCACCTGAATCTGATCAAAATAGATACACATACAAACGTGACAAGGTTGGCTTCATTGACCATTTTTTTTACTTGAGGTTGAATTTCCGATTAAAGTTTCTTACCTACTTCTTTCTTCGATCATTATTAGAGAGACGACAGTGGAAGGCTAGAAAGTGCCTTCAATTCGGATTCAAACGTTTATAGCAAGCGTGATGTATTATTCATGGTGCTTGTTGGTTTAGTCGCTGCTTATCTTAGATTTCGTCATATTGCTCATCCAGCAGCTGTAACGTTAGTTTTGATTTGATTTTATCATGCAAATCAAAGTTTACTAATGAATTATTGATCCTCATCATCAATATCAGATTTGATGAAGTTCATTTTGGAAAGTTTACATCTTATTACCTTAAACGTGAATTCTTCTTCGACGTTCATCCACCTTTAGCAAAATTGATGCTCGCCTTTCAAGGTTGGTTAGTGGGATATGATGGAGAGTTTCCTTTTGAAAATATTGGTGATAGTTATTTAGATGGTGATGTTCCTTATGTCGGATTAAGATCAATGTCAGCTTTCATTGGGTCTCTTACTGTTAGCTTAGTATATGCTATCATGAAGGAAAGTGGATATCCAACAGTAGTGAACGTCTTGTCAGCTTGTCTGATTGCATTTGGTATGTCAACAGTGAATGTCTAGAATCGATCAACCTTTTATAATCGAAAAGTATTGATGTCATTTTGCTGCTTTTTTTCTTAGATAACGGTCATATTGTACAAACTCGTCTTATTTTACTAGACGCACCTCTGATATTTTTCATGACATGCAGTCTGTTTTGTTATATCAAGTTTTACAAGCAACGGTATCATGAATTTCGTAGGTCTTGGTGGACTTGGCTCTTCCTGACCGGTTTGTCATTGAGTTTAACCATCAGTTGCAAGATGGTGGGGCTATTTACCTTCTTCACCATTGGAATGGCCGTAGCTATTGATCTGTGGGGGATGTTGGATATTAAAAGGGGTCATCCAATGGTTCGTTTTCATACCGTTTCTGTCTCGTAATCTGACCCATGCGTTAATCAACTCGGTACTGAAGACATGCTACTCTGATGCTGATCGATGATATGTAGGATCACATAGGTCGACATGTTTCGGCACGGATCCTCGGTCTGATTGTCTTTCCAGCGATTGTCTACTTGTTTTGGTTTTGGGTCCATTTCTCGGTCCTGATCAACAGTGGAACAGGTGATGAATTCATGACGGCAGCATTTCAAGAGACTCTACTAGGAAGCCCTTTGACTTTAGCGTCTGAAGGTATGTCTTTTCGTTTTCGTGCATTTGATCGAGCCGTTTACAATCAAGCTGACATGAGAGCTGTGTAGAGATCCATTATAACGATACCATTACACTTCGGCACCGAGCTACTAAATGTTTGCTTCATTCTCACCCACAAAAGTATCCTGTAAAATATGATGATGGTCGAGTCAGTTCTCAAGGTCAACAGGTTACATGCTATCCTCATGATGATGTCAATAACAATTGGAAAGTCGAAGCTACTAAACCCATCTTAGGTGTAGGCAGAGAACAGATCGTTCGTCATAATGATATCATTCGACTAAAGCATATCGCTACCAACTCTTATCTATTTACACATGATGTTGCTTCACCTAGTCTAGCAACCAATCAAGAGTTTACTACTTGGCCAAGTAGAGCATCAGGTGTTGCACAGTTCAATGACACCAAATTCAAAGTCGTCATTGATGATGCACATACCGGAAAGCAGTGGAAAACCAAATCAGGTCACTTTCAGCTCAGGCATGTAGAAACCGGTGTGGCCATGTGGACACGTAGTACACCTTTGTTACCGGATTGGGGATTCGGACAGCAAGAAGTTAATGGTCATAAAGTATATACCGATAGAACCCTCTTGTGGGTAGCGGATAGTATCATCCGAGATAGTGAGTGACCTCACTTCAAGTGATAAGCTATTATGATGATGGCTCTTACTGATGAGAATATGTGTATCAGATACCACAGATAAGATGAGATCACCAGAACCGATTCCTAAATCGATTCGACAACGATCATTTTTTAAAAAATATTTAGAACTTCAAATCGCAATGTTACAACATAACTCTGGACTAACTGAATCACATCCATATGCATCACCACCAATCAATTGGCCATTCTTATTGGCCGGTGTTAGTTTTTGGACTAGTTCACCGGATCTTCGTCAACAAGTTTATATGGCTGGAAACGTATTGGGATGGTGGTTTTGTATGATGTGTATGTCGATTATTACTGGGATCATGGGTGCTGATCAGTTTGCGAGAAGGAGAGGGATCTCTCCTATACCTGATCGTCAGTTTATAAATCTCTATCTATGACCTAATCTTCATAACCCGGATCATTGATTTATCTGTGTGTGTCATTTTATTGCATCTTGAATAGATATTCGAAATCGACTTTATAACTCTGGAGGATTTTTCATCTTAGCTTGGCTTTTTCATTATTTACCATTTTATATGATGAACCGACAACGTTTCTTACATCATTACTTACCTGCTCATCTATGTTCAACACTAGTAGCTGGTTCAGTTTTCAATTTTATCATCACAGAAGTAAGTATGATTTCGTTTGACTGTTCATATGTGATTTGGGAAAGACTGATGATGGATGAATTTGTGTTTTGGTAATGATAAAGTCAATTAACTTTCCAGTTTCAATCTCGGGTCCAAATACAAGACTTAGAAGAAGACAAAGAGCAGAGATACCTAAACATGCTAAAATGATCTTGTTCTTCATGATCTTTGTACTTTGGGTTTCATTTGATTTTTTGGCTCCACTTACTTATGGTACACCGGGTTTAAGTGCAGAACAAGTTCAAAATCGAAAAATCTTATCTTCTTGGCAATTGGTTTGTTGGATTTCTTCTTCTTTTTCTTTTCTTTGTTTTGTTTCGAATGAGAAAAAGATAAAACTTGAACTGATTCGTATTGGTGTTTTTTATCAATATTAGCATTTTGCAAAATGATTTAGATTTTCGGTTTGGTTTGAATTTTTTTTCTTTATAATTCAAATCAAAAAAAAAATAGATCTAAATCTATCATCAAGTTTGATTCTCTTTCAAGCTTATATATATATTTTACTTGTAATGATTTAAATTTGAAAACTTTTACTTTTTCTTTGTGTTTTCTACTACATACAATCATATACATACACTCTCATGGACTCTTTTTCTCTCGTTTTTTTTTCTTTCTGTGATATACGAAAAAAAATAGATTTTATTGAAGCAAATCCAAAAAAAATAATTTACCCAAATAAAACAAAAATGAAATGAAATTTAATATCGATTTATATGTTGGAATTTGTTGGTCAGAATTGATATATTGGAGTCTGAGAGAAATGGGTTTTGTTTATATTTGGATGGATGGATGAGCTTTTTTTGTATCAAGGGGTACATGTGAGATTCACGTCTCTGGCCAAGTTTCTAGAGATTGAATGATAAACTTTTGCACCAGGTTGATTGACTTTGTTGAGACTCTTTCAAGTACATTTCTTGATTTGATATTGAGCAAGCTTGATAAAAAACAACTTGTGGCTCAAATTAGCCATCATCTTATCATGTTGAACATCAAATCTGATCCCTTGAGGTTCTACTTGGAAAGTTGATAACCTCGACTGATTTGGTAAAATTATAAAGTTACTTCTGTTTTTCAACCAAGGAACAGTCACTTCAAGAGTAAGGTAAACCATTCCTTCTCATTGAGGTATCTCAAAAAAATCATAGCTCACGCATTGTAAATCGAACAAAGTTCTCTCCCTGCACACTCAGACTCTGAAGAATGAAAAAATCAAAAATCAAGAATACCAAAAAAGCCGTCAATGATAGATTCCTTCAAAAATAATGATGAAAAAAACATTCGAATGAAAAACTAAAACAGGTTAACTGATGAAAAACTATCAAAAAGAAATCTTTAAAACAAAAAAAAACAATTGTACAGAAAATGTAATCAAATGAAAAGAAAAAGAAAGAAAATTCAAAACGTTTATTATACAATCTTATTTTACATGTAGAACAGAGATCAGAATGGAAAAACTTTGCGGAAAAAAATCGTAAAGAATTGAGTCAAGTAGGTCGTTGAATTATATTTGTACAAATTATATACTCTACACAAGATGAAAAAAGAAATAAAATAAAGAAATCAAATCAAATCAAATCAAAAACGTCATGTCATGAAGAAAAACAAATAGGAAGTTGTCAAAGAGACCAAGAAAGATAAAAAACCAAGTTATAAAATAAAAATAATCAAAAAAAAACGCATGAAAGTGTTTACAAAACGAAAAACGAAAAAAATAGGTCAAGAAACTCAATCAAGCTCTAATTCCTAATCCAGTAGCAGCATTACGAGCAGCCAACGCACTAGCTCTTGCAGCTCTTCTTAAGATCCTAGTCTTTGAAATTTGTTTAGTCTTGACTGCTGTATCAATGATTTCTTCAATAGGTTGTTCCACCTCAGGTATTCTCAAGTTAAGATCAGCTCGTGTCCAATGTCCAGTTTCCCAAGTTCCTTGACGTTTACCATAAGCTCTACAAGGACTAAGAAGATCATCTTCAGGAGTACTAGCAAGTGTTGAAGGTCCGATCGGTTGAAATCTTGTAACACTTGAAGGGGTCTTCAAATCTTCAAGTAATGGTCCAGCAACCAAAGGATCAGCTTGAGTGGCTAAATTACGATTACTACCACGTTTTAAACCCATAAATTGTTTTAAAGAACTAAAGCCAACGAGATTTTGATTACGAGCTTCTTCATCAAACAATACTCTACCGACAATTTGATCACGAGATTCACGAGTCGGTTTAGTTGAAGACCAATTCTTCCAAACCGTATTTTCAGATGGTTTTTTAACCTTTTGAGAAGCTGGTCCAGATTGTTCTCCAAGATGAGCTAAACGTGAGGCAGATTTTCCTAAGCCACCCAGGTTAAATGGACTACGACGTTGAGTTTCAGGTGTACGTGGTCTAGCTGAAGGTGTAGCATCCCAACTCGTATCTGAATCTTGATTTCCTAAAAACTTTTCTAATTGAGCTTCCAACATTGCACGTGGTGGGGTTGAGGTCAAATCGTGTTCAGCTGCCACTCCAACCCTAACTGCTGGGATACCACCAGTCGAAGGTGTTTGAGGTGATTCATCTACGCCATCATCTGAATCAGGACTACGTTCATCACGAATATTACCAGGAGTGTTGACCTTGGATATACTGGTGGTCGTTCGTCTCGTACCAAAGGCTGGCGTCCTTGGAAGAAGCTCCTGGGCGGACATGGGCTGTGACTGTTTCCTAGTCAAGGTCTTAGTCAAGCTTTCTTCCTCAAAAGTTAAACGAGAGCGAAGACGACGAAGCGAGGAGCTGGGTGATGGATCGGTCACGTCAGATACAGAACGATGATTGCCCGTCTTGGGGGTATTCTCAAGGTAATTCTCGAAAAGCTTCTGTTTGCGAGAGAAAGTATAGTCAGCTTACAGAAAAAACTTGCAGCGCGAGATTATGCAGAGAGATATAAAATTTTATATCACATACCATCATTCGGCTAGAAGACTCAAGGCGATCCGGACTAGTGTTGTCGACTTCATCACGATGGCGGTAAGGACTGGCTTGTTTACGAAAGTTGAGATCATCCGGTTTGAAGACAGGAGCAGGAAGGGAAACAGGAAATGCTAAAGCTAAACCGGGATGTCGAACGTCATGATGAGAATTTGGTGTAGGAGCAAGGAGACGATCTTCACGTAAAATCCTTTCTCGTTCATAGGTCATAGGTGGTAAAGGTTTAGGTTCTTGTATCTTTGGAAGGTCTTCAGCAAGTTTAGCACGAAGAAGTTCATCTTCAGCACGATAAACCCTTTCGAATTCTTCAAATATAAAGCGAGGTGTAAACTGAGGAAGTGGTGCACGTGGACCAAATTGAACGCAGCTGGCTAGTGTAGGCGTCTTCAGATTATCAGTGTCATCTTCATGTGACAAAGGTGAGGCCTCTGGAACAATCGAATTGGTACGTTTACGAAGATGACCAGAAGCTGCCAATCGAACTGATGAGATTGCAGGCGGGGGTTGAGCAATTAAATCCAGATCGACCTCCGGACTGGGGCGCACTGGACGCACTGGTTTAGGGCCTACGAGTTATGTTTGTCAAAAAAAGAATCAGCTTGAGATCATCAAAATCATGCAAAGGCTTATAACTGACCAGAATTGGTGACCGGCATAGAGCCTGTCAAGGTCTGGCTACGGGCGCGCTCATTCTTTCGTGATAAGCCAGCATCAAGGCCCAACACAGGACGACGCTCACGAGCGCGATACGGAGAATCCAAAAATGAACCATGACCCAGTCTTGCACTTGAAAGTCCATAAGATTGCGCGTCATTTCCCACATGACTATGACTATAATCTACAGCTACAGAAGCTGAACGACCTGAGACCTGAAGCACGCGTTTTGCACTGTTCAGAGCGGCTCGTAAAGGACTCGAGAGATAGGATTCCGAAACCGCTCGTGAACGACCTTTAGGTGTAGTAGTAGATAGAGGAGATAACTCAGGTTTCCTCATATGTTTGGTATTTCGCAACTGAGGCGATTCGTAAGGTGAAGTCGTCATGCTAAAATGATGTGTCAAAAACGATGGTATGTTTGGTTTGAAAAGATTGTCTTGATGACTTGATGGAAAGAAGGTTACTGAAAAAAGGTTTGATTGATAGAAAGAAATTTAAAGTCAAAGTTGTCCTTGATGAACGAGATGAAAGATACTCAAGAGCTTTGAATGAGCTAATGCAAGAAAAAAGGGTGATGAGGCCCTCAAAAAACAAAACTAGAATGATAGGGCCGGATGAACACCAAGAAAAATCAAGCTAATAGAACTGAAGAGAGTTTAGAGTATTCCAAGAAGAATTGACTATCTCGAAGATCTGAAGATGAGAACTTATAGGTTAATGCTATTGGTTCAACTTGATAGAGTGCGCGAAAAGAAAGTGGTAAAGAGGACTGAAGGACAGATGTAAACTTGAAGGAAAGCTGAGTTAAATAAATGTAAAATCACTTCAAAACTCCGAAAAGGACACACACACAAACAGAGAGAGAGAGAGACCAAGAAGTTGATGAGGAAATGTGAACCATCAAGCGATCTTCATCAGGTCAGTCCACTAGACTTATCAGGCACACACCGTGGGTTCCTATCCTAATCATGGGTGACGCAAGCCCTAGTAGGAAGATCCGATTTAAAGAACTCATACAATACAATTGTCGTCTTTTGTACCGCTCATCCAGACTTCCCAGACTGACTGGCCGATGCGGTGTGGCTCATACTACAACGATCTAGACCATCAAAGTTTCGTCACGAAATAGTTTCTCAGCTCTGATGACGTGATAGTTTGGCAATTGACTAAGTCTTCTACCAACAAAGTAACCTCGAGGAGTCGAGATTTCATACCCCAGCTTGTTGAAAACTTTTTTCTTTGCTTGTTCTGATGCCCTGACGCCTGATCAGCTATTAGCTTATTAGCTTAGAAAGATACAAACCTGACGGAGTTCAATCAGGTCTTTCATCCAACAGAGGGACAGTCCTGATCAAAATATTCTGTATACTTAATTTTTACCCCAGAGTTTGATCTCTCAGAGTGTTTTGCATCACAGGTCAAAGCTCAAAAGTCGAAAATCATCTTTCACAAAACTGAAGTGCTCGAGGAAAACGTTGAGAGGATCTTTTCCAAATGTCTCCGCATTTCAATCCAATTGAATTTATCCAGTCAACTTTGAGATATATTCGGAGATTAACAAAGAACTAAAATGATTATTTTAATTCATCATAAATAGCACTTTGAAGCTACTTTCGCTTTACTCGGTTAACTGTTTCTGATCTCATCAGTTTACGTTTTTCTTATCACACTAAAAGGTTCTGGTCTTCCTCTATCCTCTCTAGCAGTATGTGTGAAGTTACTTTTCGGTTGATTGCTACTGACCATTTGCTTACAAACCTCAAGAATCAATTTAGATACTATATTCTAGTCTTCTTGTACTCAAGTTCTTCTTGGCTTATAATTATTAGGATCTTAGACTTGGGGATTGTGGTGTTATTCCAAGCAAATTTCGAAAAGTCAAAATATGAGTGCAGTCCCGATGTAACTCTTCGAGTACATATTGTATTTGACTTGTAACATTAGAGACCATGAGCTGATGATTTTGTTCAAAGTTCTCAAGGGGACACACCATAGTCATGGATTTAATTACAAGACTATGTGCTAGATGCAGTCCTCAGTATGTGCGATCATCAGCTCAAAGCAAGTTATCAAGAGGAAATCATTTCTCCTTTCTGGAAGTTTTTTTCTGGTTCACTTCATTCATCTGATATGTTTATCATCCTTTTATCTTGACTCCATGATGATACAAAGTTGAATGAAATTGTATTTTGTATTCAAATTGATTGTAACAAATTTTGTGTTCCGAAAATCTATAAAGTCAAGGACATTTTGTCTCATTGCAAGAAAGTGTTTGCCTACCCAAAGAGGATGATCTTCTGAAACCATACCACTCGATTTCAACACTCAGACACCGTAACTTTAGTATCACGATCCAAAACTTTTGTTAACTAAGAACGTACACCAAGTCAGGATCAGAAATGTCAATACAAATTGTCAGCTTGAAAGATTATCTCACCTCTGAATGAAGTTGCTGAGCATGATCCAACTCTTTCTTAACTATATTTCCCGACTTCAAATCCACATCAAGTTTTTCAAGACTTTCCCTCACAACATCAAACATCGATACTTTTTTTCTCAATAAAATCAATGTTTACTATCATATCAGCCACCATAAACCAAGTAAATGAAAACATTATTAATTGAATATTAACTGACCATCTAAATCTGGAGTTAGTTGAAGACTTAAACTGATCTGGATCCTAACTTTATATGATTCACTTCTTTTAAGACAAGCACATAAATCACTCGTGATCTTTTCAAGTACGTTTGATGACAAAATTGATGGACTATCAATGATCACATTTAAGATTTGTCGCATACTTGCTACAGCATTCCATTGGACCTAGACAAGTAGTTTTGAATTAATAAGTTTCATGAGTCGTTATTTGATCAAAGTGAGGATGGTCGATGGGAATGTGAAAAACCTTTGGCATCCGATCGGTGAGAGACTGGCACAAAGCACCAACACCTCGTTGCACTGTTTCTGAGATCAATTGCTGTTCTATCTGAGGAGCGCTGGAGATCCTTTTTAGTAGCTCTGATGTACCAACTCCACAGATCCGTACCCCATTTGTTCGTTGCTAGATAGAAAAGTCGTTTAAATGTCGTTATCAGTCATCAATCAGATTGTGGTGTATTGTTTTTATGAAGGAGCAAAATAGAATGATTGTGACCACTAACCGAATCAGTAGGAGAAGATGATTGCATCAGTCTTTCAGCGACAGCCACAGCTCTCATCCAAAAAGAAAGTTCGACTGTTTCGGTATGATTTCTGCATAGATCATTCAACCAAAAATTGAGAGTATGATTGTGTAAGAACATGTGTTAAAATGTTCTAGTGAAGCTTTCTTGCATACATACTACCAGAATTCACTATTTTTTCGGCACAATTGGCCATTGTCCAAGACCAAGTAGAGTTTGTCTTATCGTTTGAATTGGTAGGTTGATTGACATGCTCAAGATCAGTGAGGATTTTCCTGCTCACGCGGAGAAGCCACTCCTTGAGATTGCACGTAAGTAAAGAGGAAGGGAGCCATGCAGTTAGAGGCGTGAATATTATTGTCGGGAAGGTTTATGGCGTGCTTACTATTGGATGGGACCCAATCGCCTTAGAGATCATGATACCGCTGAACCGGACCGCTATAGGGTCCTCCAGAACCTCGATCAAATCCCAACGAAGTTCCTCGCTTATACGCTGTATCATTCCGTGTGAGGTTTGAGAAGCTACGTCCACCAGTAATTGAAGTCCACCGTAGACCAAGCGGGTACGTATCCATTGTAGACTTATCTGATCGAAATCTTCAGTAGGAAACACCATAGCAAGTGCGCCGAGGAACTTCAATTTGGAAGTTGACAACGCGTCATTCGTTGGCTCGTTGAGGTACAAAAGTCGGAGATTCAAGCTACGGATGGAGGAATGATACGAAAATAGGTGTGGAAGGGAAGAGAGAGTTTGAAAGACGTGAGACTCAACACTCTTAAAGAATAGGCTTAAAAGGCTCCGATGGGATATGCCTGGATTGGGTATACTCCACTGGACTATGTACCAGAGACTTAGAAAGTGAACAAATGGCACAATGACCACGGAAATCTGAAAAACTTACATCCGATCTATATTGGTAGTGTGGAAGTCAAGGTAGCTCATGCATGCTGTGAGGAGATGCCACCATTCGAGCTGCTCAGGGTTCGGACCCGGCGAGGATACCTCTTCACACCCCATACCTACAATCTGATCAATCACCTCAGAGCAAGATGTTATGATACTTCGATTTGATTGCGATTTATTGAGGATCTCCGTTAAAGCAGATCTTGCGTGTTTCAGTATGCAACAATCTGAAGGCGGAACCCAAATCTTAACTATTCATCTTATCTGCAACAAAGGGCATTTCACTTACCATCAGATTTCAATAGATCAGCTATAGGTTTGAGTAATGCTTCAAGGATTGGTGTTTTGATCCTTCGATATGCAGAATTGCCGACAATAATGATACTGACCTAAATGAGGTGGTCAAATCAACATGAGATCTCAAAGGGTGTACATACTACGACTCACATCTAATAAGACCTCTGTCAACTCGGGTGCAACCACTGGTGCGCGTAGTATGCAGCCGAGCCGGTGGTGCAACTCAATCGTTATTGATGCTATTTGTGCTGAAAGAGATATAAACGAAACTTTGGTCGTACTGAGAGACATTTTCCAGGTGAAGTGAATCAGCTTTGCAAGCCCTTTTTTCCATCAAACATGAAGACAAAGACTCGCATACATCGTATGGAATCACAGAGCTATAAGGAAAATTGGACTCAACTCTTGTTCAGCAATAGCTAGATAAGATTCAGCATTGACGAGCATAAGCCTGAGCGTAGTACACGCTCTGATCCTCACAGAAATTTCGGGATCACGTTCGATAACACTTATCAGCGTGTAAGCCTGATGAGTCGGATACCCATGGGCAGGAAGTAATTGGGCCCAAAATGGATGCAAGGCTTTAGAATCCACTTCTGCGATACTTTTCAAAAGTGTGATCGCGTCGATCCTTAGCTGAGTCAGAGAGTCCACAGTCGGAGTTTGTGAATGATCGACGTCCACTTTTGATTGAGAGTCAAGATGTGAGGTACGTATAAATCGAGAAGAGGTGCTGGCCGTGGTTAACGTAGAATTTTGCCGATAAGCCGGATCACCCGAAGAGTTGGTTGAAGTGGACATTGATCCTTGAACAGATTTTGTAAATTGATAACAAGGACGTATGTAATCAATTTGACTTGAAAGATCGATGAGTGCACTTGAGCCCACTTTGGTCATCATTGCTGACATGACCCGTAGCAGATAAGATATTGCTATCGGTTGATTGATTTGATTATCTTTTTTTGATACTAGATGCGACATGGAGGTGAAAATCGAGTTGACGATGACCAGGCATTGGCGTTTTAGCACAGTTGGTGAAGAGTTGCTGACGATCTGTAAGAGACACTGAGAGATAGCTTGGACAGCGCGTGGATTGGTGACCAAAGTTGAGGCCAGCGATGTTGCAGCATTGATTGGAAGACCATCCTAATCGATCCGACGAGTTGATGAAAGCGAGAAGTCAATTCCTTCAATTGATGGTAGCCAACCTCGTAGACAATTCCTGGACTGACAAGAGTCGAGTTATTCATCTTGAGACGTAGCCTCAATTGACGCAACGCATCCTCTTGGTCTACCAACGTAACAGGACCGCTGAGGATGTCACCAGTCGCTCTTCCCATCAAACGAGCCAGTTCTGGATCAGGTCTTGATTGTCGATTCTTGCTTTGCATCTTGATAGCTGAGCAAGCAAAACCTCCTGACGCATTCAACCTGAATCAATTACAACGGACCAGTTATCAATTGATGATGTTGCGTCCGAGCTTGGATATCAAAATCAATTTACTCACCTTCAATCAGCGTATGGAACGGCCACACATAACGATGAAGTGACAAGGACGAAACAAAGAGAAGGACTTCAGTCATTAGCTCGACGGGGCCTCTCCAGGTCGGGACCGATTGTTTCAATGGCCAGGAGTCGACGAATTTGATGGCACTTTTCTCAAGCTTGACACGTCTCTCCTCTCCCTCTGACATTCTTCTTCTCCTCCTTGATCTACCCAACCACTAGGGATTATGGTAATGTGGTGCAGAAATAGTATAGATTCATGCTGATACATGCCCAACTTTGCACATACCGAGAAAAGGCGTTCGAATAGTCCCGAGAAAAATGGGATGTTGGCTTCAACCATAAGAGTCTCTCAATATCACTCTCACATCAAGATGTTCACCCAATATTCAATGTTATCAAACCCCAACCCTTAATCTCGATACATAAAACCAAAGCCAATTATTATTCCAGAACCAAGAAATAAGCTTACACAGAAGGATCAACCAAACCAAAACCCAGAATTACAAAATAATAAGCAATGCAATCAGATAATAACACACACACAAACTTTTTTTCTTTCGTAACACAAGAAACCAGGATTTGATTTTTTCAATTTTGTATATAGAGAGAAAGAGACGGTAACCAAAAGAATAACGAAATCAAGATAATTAAAAGATATAATCCAAAAACCAAAGCCAACCAGAACCATTGTTTTTTTTAAAAAATAAAATAAAATTAAACGTCTTTCAATCCTCCTTTTCTTAACACCAGTCTTAAGATGAGCTTTCATATCTTCTAAAGTATGAGTCATCGAATTCAATTAAGTTTGCTTATCAAACATCCTGATCAAATCTCCTACTGGTTTCTTATTAGATCCTGCAACAAAAGGAGAAGATGTTGAAGAAGGATTCGATATTACTGAAAACCGTTTCGTATGACCACCTGTGATGGCATTTTTAGTCAAGTCTAATGGTTGCCATGCACGAGCATGGTTCAAGGGTGTACTCGGGGCACGATAATGAGATGGGGTGTTGGGTGCTAAATGGAAGCAACAAAGATGTTAGGTGATCAAAGTCAGATGATCATGGGGTAGGAAGTAGCAATGACGTACCAGTAAAAGCAGGTTGTGATGACATAGGTGTTGTTCGACCAGTAGTAATCCCTCGTTCTAATTTAGATATTTCTGAATTACCATAACTTGTACTAGGTCCAGCCGAAGCTCGCTTTATTCCTGGACTGCCTATATTAGAACCAAGGCTTAAAGGTGTAGCTGCTATTTTGGTACTCAAGGCCGCAGTGTAACGAGGTCGAGGACTACGAGAACTAGGTGTACCTGGCGTATTACGAAGACCTTTGGGTGTGGGTGGTGAAAGTGGTGCCAACTTGGAAGCAAGCTTTGCAGGGGAAGAGGCTTGCCAAGTAGATCTTTTAGGTGTGGTGACTTCTGATGCGGGATTCATATCTTGAAGTCTTTCTAAATCGGGTGGAATTGGTGAAGTAGACACAGTTGCTGGGCAAGAAGCATGAGGCAAGGTAGGCGGCTGATGATCCTCGAGCTCCTCTGGTTCATCAAATGAACGTAAAAGAGGTGAAGTCGGATGAGAGCGCAGAGGTACTGGCGAGATAGGTTGAGGAGGAAGCTCAAGCGTTTGACGCCCAAGAGAAGTCCCCAGAGTCGATGGGGATACTGAAGAGTTCCATCCCCTGGTTGATGTGGCATCAGTCAGACCCCTTATCGAAACTGAACTGGGAACCCTCGTGCTAGTTTCGGTTGATTTATTGGTGTTTCCAAAAGTCTCTAAGGAGACTACTCGGCTATGTAGATCCACAAAGTCTTTTTGCAGTGCAATCAAGTAAGTGCTCTTCAAATCAGGACTCGCCTTGCTGTCATATTGTTGCCGCTCCAAGTCCTGCAAAAGTCCATCATGTGCTTTGAGTGCGTGTTCGAGAGTATTGATCTTAGCTGTTGACCAATTCTTGAACTGATCGAGTCGCGTCATTTGATCTTCTACCAGTTGCTCTAAGGCACGTATCCTATTCTGTTCAACCTGAAGCTTGTGCTCCAATTCATCGCATTGATTGCACCTGAACGGAGCAGCGGCCACGGAAGTAGAGGTGCTGAAGCTGGGAGTAGGCTGTAGATTAGAAACTGGGCGATCATCCTTGATCACATCGCGGACGTCTGGGCGTTGAGCATTAGTCGTTGCTTGGGTACTGGTAGTGGCACATCCATTCACAACACGCAGAACTCGTTCGTGCTCATTAGGAACTACAACTGATTCTTCAAGATCGATACCACGAGTAATGAGTTGGGATGGTGTGAGGCAGCGGTCTCCAGCTTGTTGCGTGCGATGAAGTCCAGGGCTCTCCCCAGGGGTTGGCATCCTTGGTAAGTGCTCCTGTATATTGGTACGATTATGGGAGCCATTATTATCCAAGATCGCGGCTATTTCTCTGATGAAAAACAGTACAATGTTGTCAAGATGCTGACTTATGAGTTTGTGACATGGTTTGAGTTTTAAAGACATACCTGGCGGCGCGATCTTGAAAATCTTGTGAGGTTGGCTTTGCGAGATCAGCGGATGGGCCGGACGATCCCTTCTTGACCGCGCGATCTTGACAATTGATCTCAGAAGCATCTGAGCCTGAACACAAAGAAATTCAATAGGTTAGACATCCATATATACCTATACAAAGCAAAAAGACTACGAAGCATGACGAACCTCGACGCGACTGGGAGGACCTGAAGGGTGCGCTGAGGACTGAACCGATTTTTCTCACCAGCCCGCTCCGTGGACTGGCACTTGGACTTGGAGTACGGCTTTCATGCTGTATGAAAGATCGTACACTAGCCCCCGGAGAGTTGTTGAAAGGACTGTTTTTATTTGAATTAGGTGCTGGTGAGGGAGATTCAGGTGTAAGAGCGCGAGTCTGACGGTTGGTACTTTGTTGTAGATCGACAGCTGGAGCAGGAGGTGGAGGTTTGCGTTTGCTGGGAGATGCCTGGTGGGCGGCTGAACCATAATGAGGTGAATAGTGAGCATTAGCTGGCGCGCCGAGGTGTTGAGGGGTGGGCCGGTGGTGAGGAGATCGATCGGAGGTAAGATGACGTTGGGGTGTAGGCTTTCGAGGAGGACCTGAGGGAGGCTTGACTCGAGCTGCCGTGTCTGAACGCTGACCTGGACTCTGTCCACTTTGAGACTTGGGCGAAGGCCGAGGCCGACTTTGTTGACCGGAATGAATCATATAGCGGTGTCGATGATGATCGCCTTGAAAACTACGGCGATCAGGAGGAGTCGATTGGACCCCAGGAGAGGCAGGTGAATGAGGCAAAGATGAAGGATAAAATTGTTGATTCTCTATGTCGACAAACGCAGTTTCGGACCGTCGAGGGCGATGTGGGGAGGGCGTATTTTGAACTGAAGAAAGTCGAGGCCTAGAGCCGTCAGGTTTTTGGCGATGAAAGGGCGAGCCAGGGGAGTTTGGGTTGCGTTTCCTGATAAGTTCAGTATCGTGCAGTGAACGGACCAAACACAATGAAGATGAAAATGGCCCATAGTAGAAAATGAGAAACTGTCAGACGCCTTTCAGAACAAGTCATCATGAGCAAAACTTACGGTGAGCCAATGACCATACTCGAGGTTTCCTGTGAGACTTGAAAGTGTGATAAAAGGATCTCAATCCGAAATAAATCTCGAGCTGGTGAAATTACGTCCAAAGAGAAAATGAAGCTAATAATAATCAAGATACACAGCAGTCAGTATAACTGATAGACAATGGAAGAGCTTTACTAGGAAGGCGCGAGTTGACGATGACTTGCGGATTCTCAATATTTTTTTTCTCAAGTGAAAGGGATGTGACTTACTCAAAGGGTCAAGTCCATAAATTCAAACGGTCAACTGAAATGAAAGTCAGAAAGACCACTTAGAAGGGAATACTACCTATGAGAAGCTGATGATGGTGAGTTTTTCAAGCAGGATTGGTTGAGAAGCGAATTGGATGACAACAACAAAGGAACCTTGCAAAGACTAAGTCAGAACGCCTATGTCCTAAAATTTAGAGATTTCCCTCTTCACTCCAACATTCTAATTCATGACTCACGTCAAGTAGTCACATAAATTGGACAGTCAAGTCTACCCACTCAAGCCATCCGTCAGCAAACTCATCCATTCGAATTCCCAAATGAATAATGATCACTCTCAGGCGATTCAAGACTCAAGGTACAATATAGCTTTCGCGGTATGAAGACTTCAACTTACGGGTCGGGGTGGATTTATCGCTTCTCAATCTGACTCACCACGTCTCGAAAGACATCATCCAGAGGAAAGGAACGAAAGGAGAAGGAAATCGGATTCACTAGAAACCGCTGGAAATGATCATATCTCAAAGCAATTCTCTACCCTTCGAAACTGTCTCCAGAATCCTAGGATTGTTATCGACAAATTTCAGGCTCACCTGAATCCAGTGATGTTCAACTTATTCAGACTATTATCTATTTCCATCGGACCGTGATCTATTCATATTGAGATTAGTTTCTAAAACCTGGTCCAAAATTCTTACATCAATCTCATGAACTGAAATATTATAATTCCGAATGTTGAAGGCTAATAGACCAAGTTGTGAGAAATTTCGATCAAAAACAAATCAGGCTCAGAAGACCATGAAGATGATAAATAACTCCACTCTTTATTGTCTTGATAACTAAAGTTGCTTCTTTGTAAGTTACATTTTGTGAGATTTTTGTTCACTAGCTTTGATATTTGTATTTTTACATGTCCAGGTTGCAATAACTCTTTACTCGTTTTCATTCTTGTTCTGAAATTTTGTCTTGGTTGTAAAAGTTTGGCTATATAGTAAGTGTGCGTCAAGGCCGAGACCTATTTGTAAGTTTCATATTGCTGGATTTGTCCTTGTAAACTATCACTGCAAGTTTCTACTGAGGATTTCAAATCATAATCAAGAAAATCTTCAAGAATGGGATTGAAGTCCAAGCAGTAGGCCGATTCAAGGAGTAGAGTTGGCTGAAGTTGATACAGTCATTTAAGAAGAGCTTGCCCCAAATTCCCCGCCAATTCGCTTGAGTTTTGCGGGCAATTTGGGGCAAGCTTTTCTTAAATGACTGTAAAAAAAACTTGAATGTCAGGTCAGTTGAAAGGTTTCTGAATGCAATGTCCTGGTCATGCAAGGTTGGATGCTTTGGTTTGCAGCTTTGAATGATTACCAAGAGGTTCACCGTTTGCCTACATCACTTATAAATTCCGCCAGCAGACTCCTAGCATGAAGCCCCTCAAAACTGTTGACTGACTCAGTGATTGGATGGGTCTGTAAAGCGCGTCTCCATGTGAATGTACAGGTAGAGTTTTTTGATGAGGAAAGCTGTTGAAGCCTGAAGGTGTGAAAGACAAGGTTTGCGGAAAAAGTTTATTTACACCTTTGTATAGAAAAATGTTTATTCACACCATGGCGACTCCAACCTAAGGATCGCGGTCAATACGATTGAGGAGAGCGAAGGTGATACATCCGATTTGCATGTCATTTCAGCTGTTCATCTGGCCCATCATCATTTAGCGTCATTTTACTCGAAATCCATCTTCACGAAGAAACGAATCGAGAAAACCCGGATTCACTGACAATGCTCACACCTTCGATTAATAGTCTACCGGTCGAGATTGTGCATATGATCCTGGAGATATTTATTGGTGGAGGGATGGGTTCCTCCAGGTACAATATCACCGATCCAGAGTATGCCGACTTGGACGTCAATGAACCATCAGTGGACGAACTCAACCTGAGATTCGTCTGTAAAACGTGGTCCAGAATCGTCACTCCAATGTTGTTTCCTATACTTTATCTGAATCCGAAACGAGCGCAACTCTTCTTAAAAAACTGGTCAACTTCGACAAATTCCACAAATCGCATCTTCCCGTTCAAGACCTTGAACCTGTTTGTGCGACATGGCGATAGCTCCGAGTCAAATGAAACTGATACTAATGCTTGTAAGTTTACAGAGAGCTTGCTGTTGAGATACGTGCTTCACTGAGATTCTTGGATGTTATAGTTGGTAGATATCCATTCTTGTCGATGGACGAGGCGGTAAACATTATCAAGTTACTGGGTCACAACCTGAACAAGTTAAATTTATGGTTTTTTAGTGGTTTAATGTGTGTGACACCAGCTTTAATAAATGCGGTAAAGCAACTCAAAAATCTGGAAAAGTTAAGCGTCATAGACTGGAATTATTTAGGACACCCCAGAGAATCAGATACAACATATATAGGCTTTCTACTTCTAGCTACTCCCAACATCAAACATCTGACGATCAGTGGCAACCCCCAGGAAGTACTAGACTTGACGTCTCCAGCCCTCTCAAAGTTACAAACTTTCTACTTCTCTTGTAATGAGGAGGACTTCGAAGCCGTCGCCCATATCTGTAAATTGGCAAAAGATACCTTAAGAGTTATTGGTTACCGATTCAAACATACTCCTGCTGAAGGTAGAACGCTGATCTTCGAACAAATCAACAACACACTCGAAGGTTTGTTTGTAAATGGTGAAGAAGGATGGCTTCCAGAAGAGATCGTCAACATGGAATTTCCTAGACTTCGGGTGGTCAAGATAGTCCAGCTTATGTGGATCAGTTATGACGATTTACTGGATAAGCCTTATGTTCGTAATATTCGAACACTTGTGATAGACTCAAGTAACAATTCCGGTGATTGGGAAGAAGCTATAAGATATGGAGATGGTATCAAGTCATTACGGAAACTGAAATATATAATCTTCATTACTAAAAGCGAATGCTCAAAACCGGATGCTGGACTACTACATGATCTCGGTTTGAAAGGGATCAAGTATTACATCTCGCCAAGGTTAACACCCGAAAAACTCATGGTCAGTACATATCAAGTTGCAATCTGGATTAATATTGAGAGTATAAAATTTGACTTGAGGTCCTCGTGTTTTTCTGGATATTCAGGAATTAGACTGGCAACTCAATGGTCCGATAGAATATTGAACACGCTTCTACAATTGTTTGTTGGATCTTTGAGATTTTCTCAAATGTCCAATTCATATGTGAACCTGATCAATCTTTAAAGTTCAACAGGCGCAATTATGACTTTTCAAAGAAATAGACGTCATTTGCCAAAGGAAAAATTTCTTCAATACTATTAGCTAGTGAAGTATTTCAGATGGTCACTTTCAACTTGTTTCAATCATCCATCTCCTTTGTGACATACAGTGTCACTTTACCCTTTAGAACTTCTCAAGGTTGCTCAAATAAAATGTGCTCTAGTGTTTTACTATCCTTTGACCTAGGTTTTTTTTGGTCAGAGAAATCTTTTTAGGTTGTTTAAAAATCTTTACGCTATAACGGTAGGAAGAAGGGAGTATCCAGTGTGTGGTTCCACTTTGCAGATTTATATCCTCCATGCATCAGAACCTGAAGCTTCTGTAATATATTGCATCATGTTGGTGAATGTTTGATTGGCCAATCTGTTTTTATCAACAGAGTATCTACTAATTGATTCATTTATGGACACCAATATGAGAAAGTAGGCGCAATTTTTTTGATATTTGTTGAGATTTGTTGCCAAAGCCAATATGCAGAAGCTGACCCACAAATTCAACAGCTGGTTATGCAGAAGAAGGAAAGTCCATCAGAAAGGTCAAAACCAAGGGACCTCTGCCAACCATTTTTTTCTTGAGTATCAAAACTGATCAAACATATGTCTGGCCACTATCCTTATTAACTTACTTGACCAGAGTGTGAACAAACTCAATTTCATATTTCAGCATTTTGGAGGTGACAGTGTGACACCAACTCAAATCAATGCTATAACACAATTCAAAAATCTGGAAAAGTTGACCATCAGTGACAAGTGTCCATTTGGCAATGGACAATATAACTTCAGAAATTTTAAACTTAGAACATCCAGCACTATCAAAGTTACACAGCTTTTACTATTCTTCTTTCATGAATGACTCTAGTCTCTGATGCTATTGCCCACAATTGTCAACTAGCAAACAATACTTTGAGATTTATTGCATACAGATTTGAATGTGTATCTCTACTTACAGTAACAAGCTGATTCTTGCACAATTCAACAGCACACTTGAATGTCTATTGAAAGACCATGATGGTAAAACTCTTCCAGAAGAAATCACCCACATGGAATTTTCAAGACTTATGGTTTTCTGGTTTTGTATGTCTCCTCAGATGATTGGCTAGAATATATGAATTATTTTGCCAGCCTTTTCTTTGTGATATTCAAACACTTTTGATGGACTTTCACACTTCAAGTGGTGATTGAGAAGAGCTTGTGGGGTATATCAATCAATGACAAAACCTAGAACTCATAATCTTGGCTACAATCAATGTGGGAATGGAATTGTCACCTGGACTAATGTGTGATCTTGGTCAAAAAGGAATGGCACCACCCAATAAATTCATGGTCATTGACATTATGGAGTTAATCTAGATCATCATTGAAGCTAAAAATTCTAATCCTGGTTTCTTCACTTCAGATAATTAGAAATTAGACTTGGTTCCAAGCTCAATGGTCCAATGGATGCCCAGGAACTAGATGGCAATCCCAATGCTCCAATTCAGCATGATCACACTCCACAGATTTTCTATTCAATGTATACTATTACATCAAATGTGAAGAGCAAATGCATTGATTGTTACTGAATCTTGTACTTTTATGACTCATGCAGGACAGATCACAGCCTGCAACTTAAAGAATTCAAAATTTTATGGATGTAAGCCAAATTTGCATATCATTGAAAACTTACCAAGGAACATTTGTCCCTTATACTCAATAAGGTGTAAGAATCCCCATATACTAGGCTAGGCCACTTCTCATTTAGTCCATGCTTTGATATAATCAACAAGAAATGATTGCTGTTCAACAGTTGGCAGTAGCTTCAAGTGCTCCACCTACTTCCACACTGGCAAATGCTATAATTGTGCCCCTCTTTTTCACACTTGATCAATCTAAGAGTTCATGTTGTGATACAAGCACTTTGAGATATTTTTAATAAGAGATACAGGGCTGTTGTGTGACAGTACTAGATTAGAGAAGTGATTGTGAGGTCAAAAGGTCTTTTCAAATATACATGTCCTATATAATAAAAGGAGAAAAGGCCAGAATTGAGAACAGGTAATTAGCCCATTAAACTCACAAAGAAGTAGGATAGAAAGAGGTAGAGATATTAATGCTAAACTTGATCAATATTTCAGCTGTGAGAGAAAACAAAGGTCCAACTGATCCACACAATGGGGAGACGTTGGGGCTTCTGTTGACCAGACCGGGACCCACCCGATGGCTAATTCCTAGCTCCCGAGGCCGGGTCGGACTCGTCTGGCTTCCAGGACGTGTCGGCTACCGCATATCCGGATGCTGGGGCCGGGGTGAGTGATCCGGTTCGTGAATGATCGATCGAAAACACAAAGTGATTTGAAAAAAGACCATCGACATTCAAAGCATTAAGAATTGAACTCAAGAACAAAAACAAATTAAGAAACTCCATGTCAACGCCATCCATGGAACATGAAATACAAAATGAAAATCAAACCCAACTCCAAGAATCAGAATCAGAATCAGATCAAAACCAAAATCAACTTCAACATCAACCTCAAGTAAAAGTTGAAATCAAAGTCAAAAAGTTTTCAATCATCACAAGATCTATCATCTCATTCACAATATCTATCATTTATTCAATTCTAATTCAGATGATTTTATCAAAATATAACTTGATTTTGAATCATGAAGAATTTCAACTTACTTCATCTTCAATTAGTTTATCAATCTTAGAATCAATCTTAATCTTTTATTTTTCATTTCGTTTGAAATCTAATTCAAGTTGGTCTTTAATTTATTTTTTATCGCTAACTTTAACGCTTTTAAAATTACCACTTTGTAAGTTTTTCTCTTCTTGAATCATTACCGTATATTTGAAGAGAAGAAGAATTCAATGCTGACTATCTTTTTTTTTCGCCTACAGTTACGCTGGTTTATAGATACTTTTCAATAATCTCCATTTCAAATTTATGTTCAATATTACTCATCGATACATTATCTTACTTTGGTCAATTTATCATTCATCTGAAAACATTTCATCTCAATCGATTCAATTTATCTCATTCTCAAATTCAACTCGGTCTATCCGATCCATTAATGTTAATCTTAAGTCTAGGACTAGTGAGCTTGATAGGTGGTTTGTTCGATTACGTATCAGATCGACTTATTCTTAGATCTCATCTACAAACTGATCTCGATTTGGCTAATCATAGAGCTAATTTGAATGATTACTTTCTCTTAGAAAAGTCAGTCAAGAAATTTCTTCCAAAATTTATTGAACCGTTTGAATTTGAACTTTTATAAATTGAAAACTGATCAATTCGATTTTTTTTCCAGGTCAAAGATTACCAATAATAAACTTTTACCTGCACCAAGAATGTTAATCATTCAACTTTCAAGTATGATCTCAGTGACGATGCCGATTTGGTTGATGAGTTCATTTTCAATTGGTTCGACTTGGATTTTGATCTTGATCTTATCAATCTTACAATATTTGATCAAATTACCTATCAGTTTCAAAACTGTTCAAACCATGATCAGTTTGGTTATGATTAGGTTGGTTGGATCGAATCTGATTTTGAATTATTTAATTAAAGATAGTAGAAAAAGGGACATAATTGAAGATGTTATTGAAGATGTTATTGAAGATATCAGAGAAATGGAACAGATTGATGATCTTGCATTGATTAAGGATGCTAGAGAAACAGAAAAGGTTGATAGCATAGATGGAATCGAAGCTATCAGCGAAAAAGACAAGATTGAAGGGATTGATGGAATTGATTTAAATCAAGATCTTCAAGGGAAAACAGATTAATTTTTTTGTGGAATTTGTGATTTGATGTTTATTTATGTAAGTAAGGTTTTAGTTATTATGATGCCATTAATGAACTCTTTTTATCTGCATACTCATGTGATGATTACAAAAACAACAAATACCTTGGTTAGAAATTTTCTCAACTTCTTTTTTTGTTGTAATACACTTAAATCATTATTAAATGTTGCGTTTCAAATCTGAAATCTTGATCTAGAACCACAAAACTACATAACATGGATTGGACTCTTGATTACATGAGTGGTGGTGTGATAGGGCCCTGTTATGCCTCTAAAATTGGTAGTCATCTGGAACGACTTTGGAGCTCTTGCAGAAGCCCACTGTGGAACTGCTAGGGCTGTCCTTGGCTTTGCCTGCTTGTAGCTCTAAGGCAGGTTTGATCTTTCTTTGGAATAACAAACGCTGCAATAAAACCTTTCCTGACTCTAAGATACACGATAACAGAGATTAGAAGTGGGCAAAACTTGAAGTCGTGAGAGCAGTGTACAATCCCGAAAAGTGTTGGGAGCCCAAAAGCCACATTTTCAGACAACTACCCTCTATAGACTGGGGTCCTGGTGTGATGAGAGTCCAGATGATGAGACTGAGTCCAATCCAAAGAAATTGACCTTGAGGAAGATCAGATGGAATGATTAGTCTGAGTTTTAGACACATGATGTCACCAGAACCCAATCAACACCAAGGAATTCATAGACTATTGCAAGGAAGGAGATCACTCAATTGTTGAACTCTGTAGTATCTGTATAGAGAGGGCGTATATGTTGTGTATTACTCTCCTTCCTTCCTTCTTTTCTCTTTGAGGTTTCTTCTCCTGCTTTTGCAGTTGTATAGTTTCTTTCTGATCTTTCTTCGTGGTCCAGACTTCTATTCCAGCAGAATACATGTTGGTTGTAGATCAGTCTTGGCTTTGGCCTGTAAGTCACTTTCTACACTGTAAGCATCATACAACTACATACCCCAAGTGGGAAGGTGGAAATGATTGAGAATATAGTTTGTCATAAAAGGATCCACCACAGCACACTTGAGCCATAACACCCACGCTACAAATGTGCAGCAGGCTAAGTAAATAGTTGCCTATCTTGTACATACAGGTCTGCTTAGTTGTCTGCTCATCCAAACAAATAAATCCCATGTGATTCAACATGTAACTTTTTTGACTTTGATAAAATTGTCCCAAAAATAAACTACAGCTATTTCATTATATATTGGACATTGGGAAACAAATAATGAAGTTTTTACTACCTTGAAGTAGATTGAACTTCAAAATTTACCAATGAAAAACAGACAATACAGTGGTTGCTGTGTTTAAATCCAGTTAAAAACTGAAATTTCAACTTTATTATTTTTCTTGATGTCCAAGATATAATGAAACAGTAGTACATATATCTTCATAGCTACTCAGGCAAAATTCTCAAAACCATTTGTCAGTAACAAAAAATGTGTTACATGATGAAATCACACCCATTGAGTCAGTGTATGTAATCAATTTTTGGAATGCTTTTGTCAAGTTAAAAAATGCTACAGCACGTATTACATATGAGTCACTTATCCAGATGAGTGGAGCACCAAGTAGACCTGTATGTACATGATAGCCACCTATTCACTCAGCCTGCTGCACACATGTAGTGCAGGTGTTATGGCTCAGATGTTCAGTTATAGATCCTTCTATGACAAATTATACTCCTAATCATTTTCCTCTCCCCACTTGGGGAAGTTGAATGATGTTGACCATGCTAGTGAAGTTTGAATTATCCTCAACTTTACAGCTATAGACAACTTTGGAAATTAGATCCTGATACCCACTTTCCCGTTCTTGGAAGAGTTGAAGATTCATCAACATGCAGAAGTTTGCAGTTCCTGGTCACTTGCTATCAAGCTCTGGGGGGTACACACAGTTGGTGGGGCTTTTGTTCAGCTAGACTTATTTGTACACTTCCAAGCTTGCAAATGAATTCAGACAGCAAAATAAGACACCCAGACAAGTAATCAGAACCTAGAAACATTGAAACTCAAATCTTGGAAAGAGTTGATCAAACTCCAGAACTTAAAATTTTCCAATTTTCAAAGGATTCTGAAAGAAGATGATCAGCAATACAAGTCAAAAGATGAATCTTATTTGAGAATTGTTGATGATGAATTTCTAAACATATGATCCAATCACATCAAAAAGTCGATGTTAGTTCTCATTCCACATCTTAAACAGAAATTATCAGTTGAAACAAAAAGGAGAGAAATTACATTACCTTTTCTAATCTCACACTTTCCAATTTCCAAATCATTCATATTAAGTCTTAAATTCATTCCTTCATACATTTGATCCATTACTATTTGTTGTTGTCTTTGTAAATTTCTCATATCCATACTCAAATTCCATAAAAATGATGCTTGATCAGGTTTGAAACCCCAAGATATGATTTTGGATGAGAAAGTATCAGGGTGATCAGTGGCTTCAACCAATAGTTTTGAAGCTTTATCTTGCTCATCTATTTATCAAACACCAAAATCAACACAAGTATGCATAAAAGGTTATAGATTATTTCAAAAAAAGGTTTTATTTACCCCAATTCAATCTTCCGGATGATTTAGATCCCATTGAAGGAGTCAAACTTTTCCAAAACGCTTTCCCATTCTCATCCTTACCTTGTTCATTATAAAGAATGTTGAGTTTCATTCTAAGTGTATGACTATCCCTATAAGTTTCTTCTGTCATTGATGCAAAATCAATCATACATTTAGTAACAAAAGTTGCAGGAAGTGATCCGATCTGATGTGTCTTATTAATTTGATTCCAAGTTGTAATATAATTTCTGATGATACGGCTAATATTTTTGGGATGCCTGTTTTCACGGAACAAGAGATATCCTATCCACATAATCGCTTCACATAACTGCTGTCTTGACCTTGGAACTTGAATATAAAAAAATACAAAATGATTAATCTTAAACTCCAGTATGCTATTAAAATTTTTGGTGACTCACTCTTATATATTGATTGAACTTGTCTAACCCAACGGAATCTTTCATATGCATGTTCAATTTGAAAATCAATACCATTGAAATTATCTCTCAAAGGTTCAAATTTTTGGGTATGGATCTTATAATTTCCAAATAGATATAAACTGCTCAAAGGGTATCGAAACCAATCTAAAACATTTCTAAATCAGTGTTGTGATCTATGTTTAAAGGAAGCTTGTTCTTAGGAACTCACTCAAAGACATAGCATATGAACCTCTTGGAGGTATATAATCATCTTTTGAATCAATTCCAATCCATTGACAATAAGACCTTATATGTTGAAAAGTGTCTTGTTGATAGCTAGGCTGATTCTCAAAAACTTGTATCAATCTATCTTCAATAGGTAACAAATTTAAGGCTTCTCTGATTTCACGTATTCTGGGTTTAAGGGAAGCTTCCTTAAGTGGATTTATTATTTCTGCTAATTCAATTACCCTTGATATCACTGACATTGATGATTGATAATTTGATTCATCTGATTGAAAATCAAATAAACTGAACTTTTTGTATGAAATCCTTTGTCTGAATGAACGCACTTTTGGTTTAAGGGTTTTGCTTGATGAAATTGGTTTGTAATCCATTAACTTTGATTCATCTATGCCTCTGAGAACTCCTTTTTGAACATTCAAGTTCAATGGTCCAATATTATCCTGATGATCTGTTGTAGAAAATTTTATCTCATCTGAGTGTGTAAGTCTTTGCCTTTTCAATCCTTCTTCAATTGGTGCATTTGATATTTTTGGTGGCACGTAGAGTGGACTGTTTATATCCGGGTTATTAATTACATTGCTTTGATGCCTTCCCTCAAGCTCATTAGTCTCAGTTGGAAATGCTTGGTCAGCTAAGCGCTTGCCTGAAGAAGTTCCAATAGATGGTAAGACCAATTTTTCCTTAGCTGTCTCCAATTGCATTTCCCTTGATGGTTCCATCGTATCTTTAGCATGGCTTGATTCTACAACCGGTTGCAATTGAGATGTATCTCTCTGAGAACCAAGATGACTCAACAGGTTATCAGCCCATACTTTTGCGTCTCGAAAACCCAACTTGGTGACTGTCGGGGTAGTTGGTTTCGTGAAAGATGGCATGCTAGACGGAAAGTGATAATGAAGAAAGACTACTGGGCTATAGTGAAATCCATTTTGACCTTCTGGAATGGGATTGACTTGAATTTCTTCGGCTCTTGAGCTTGTCTTATAAGGTCTAGATGATGAATACAATTTATTATTATCACTAGCTTGAAAAGATTGATACAATTTTGAACTTTGATGAGGACCTATCAATTCATCATCCATTGGAATTTGTTTAATATTAAAGACTGGTTCGGATTCTGTCATCCCTCTAACTAAGAATGAAAAGTTGAAGAAATTCAAACTGATAAACCAGATTGTCAAGTTTAAACTCTTCACCATTTTAATTGACTGTTTTTCTAATAAAACGCCAATCTTCTCAAGGCTAAAGTATAAGAGGAAAAACACTTCCGCCTATCTTTTGTATAAAGGACTTATATAAGATTGTTTTACATGATATTCAATTTGTCAATCAAAACCTTCTGACAAAAATCGTCCTTTAAGATTCACCTTTTCATGCGTGTCTGATGTTTCGAAATTTTCACTTTTGTATGAACTTGATGCTGCGTGACTTAATGTATCAGTAATTCACATAATTTGACACATTTCCGTTCGATGGAAACTCAAGTAATCGGGTTTCATGACCATTCAAGTCGCTCGCTAAAACCAATTTATTTACATAACTTGATGATCGAACAAATTCGAGTTCTTTGCAATTTTCAAGTGTGTCATTGAAAGAAACTGATTGTGACCATCATCTCTCAAAAAGAACCTTTCAGCTAATTCCAGTAAAATGATATAAAACGATGATCTTTATTTGTATTTATCTAAGATCATCACAAATGCTTCTCATCGCTTTTATGCCAATACCCTTCATTTTTCATGTACCGAAGCAAGAGAAACCTACTCAAAGGAATCTGAAATGTAAATTACTCGTCTGAACTTCTAATACGGTTTATATCTAACTTGTTTGATAGTAGGAGATGTGACTTCCGGCCCAGTTTTCTGTGCCTTGTCCTCAGATGTGGTATCCATCATCTCTACATCTTGTTCAAACACGTTAGGCCATAGACATATATTCCCATCTTCACCACCTGTGAGTATCATACCACTCTGAAGAAGATGAACAGATAAATCGAATAATCAGATTCATGATCTTGTATCAGAACGAAAACAAATTACTCAACTCGTTCATCGACAATTGCGGATCTCACTATATCAGTATGCCCTCCTGTTAGTGAAGCCAGTAGATTCCAAGGTACGTTTGATTGATTAGAAGGTTCAATTAATGAAACTTCACCTCTGATAGTATTTGAAGTTGGCAGAAGCAAAAAAACAGTGTCAAAAACAGTTTCTCACATTAAGCAAAAGTTGAAATGTATCAAACTGACGATTGTGAACCAGAGAAATAACCAAAACGAGATTGAATCGGATCCACATGCTTAGGTAAGTTGGTAGAGTCTATCAAATAAGAAGTTGGATCTCTCCAACTCGAATGTGGCCTTTCAAGTTCGCCAAGTCTGATATCACCAAAATCTTGAATCAAACCCAGCTAATGTGGATTATTTTGTCAGATATGGAATCAAATATAAGTTGAATTGATGATTATAAACGACTTACATCTTCACCATCCCAAACAGCCACTGTTTCCATATCAGTTCCAGTCCAAACAAATCTCCCATCACCACTCCATCTAGATCTAGCAAGACTAGCCCCAACATTTCCAGTAGCAATCACTGCATCTTCTTCATCAACCAAACGAACATCATAAGTCACAATCAAACCATCAGTAGAAGCTGATAATAACTTATGATGTTCAGTAGGATGAAAAGCTAAAGAAGTGATCAAATCTGAATGAGATTCAGTATAAGTATGTAATGGGATCGGATTAGATCTACAATCGAATAAATCGATTCTCGGTTGATTTTCATCACCACTACTTGCACTTAAAAGATTACCATCTAATGAAAAATCTAAACTTAAAAACGGATCAGAACTAGAACCTAAAAAAGATCTTTATTCAAAACCCAATTTTTCCATCAATTTCAATCTCTTGTTTTTGTGTTTTTTTTGAAAATGAAATGATAACTGACCTTTTAATTCAAGTATAGGTAAACTATTATTCATTCGAAGATCCCATATTGATAAAATCGGATTTTCAGAAAACCCAGCGATTAAACAATTCGGTTTTTGATCGGTTGATTTCAATTCATTGATTCTACCATTTTTATGATGCGTGGTTAAGGTTTGATAATTAGTTAATTCTGATTGTGAGTTTAATTTGATGATTTGAATGGAATCAGATAAATCATCAGTTGAATATGCCCAAGTTAATGGTTCTTGAATTGATAAAGAAGTGATTTGTAAAATGTAAGGAATCGTGGTGTTTGATGTGTTTTTCGAAATTGATTTCTTTACTAATGGGTTCGAATGATGTTTGCTTTGAGACTGGTTTAGATTGACGTTTGACATTTTGGTGGATGGGAAGTTTAAGGGTGATGCTGAGTGAAGTCTTGATGGAATTTAAAAAAGTTTTGACTTCAATCGGTGATGGTGAAGGTGATCGAGGTGAAGAAATTTTGGAGACTGCTGACGATATGTTTATATGCTATAGTAAATACCACGATATAAAGCTATGAAATCACGTGACTTTCAGAAACACATTCCAATGGTCAATCGTGATTTGTTGCAAATCTTTATTGCGATTTGCATTTGCAAAGCTGCAGTCCACACTTGACCAGAATTAAAGAAACCAAAACTATAGCTCAACAACTGAAGTCGCGATGCTTTGGATACCTTATATTTGAATCATTCTGTATATATAATTTACATTCTAACCAACATAATAATCCTACTCCTCAGCTCCAAGGTATCAACTGCAAAATGTACATATTTCAGCAAAATAAAGTATTTTATGAGAAAAATTCTTTGGTGGAACGATGGTTTGAAGTACAGTTTTGGACATCATCAATCTTTCTCTCGACGGGGTGTTTTCATTGATTATATCGCAACAGATAATGGGGTCATCAGTGATTACATGATTTATTTTCTGGGACAAATGTCAGTCACAGCAGCGAGTTTGTTTTTCAAGATTCAGTCACTCAATTGGAGAGTTCTTTCACCGACTCTAGAAATGCCTTCATGCTGTGGTAAAGTCGATTTTACAAAGCTTTGATTTTTTTCTCATTTTGTGGTCAGTTCCAGAAGATCTTGGAGGTAGCCATGGATTTGATGCGACAGGAATCGTCGCGTCTTTGTCGGCCTCCCGACTCCCGAGGCCTATGTGCTCTTATTCTTTATTTTCCCCGTTGATCAGCTTCTCTGTGCCATTGGTTTGTTTCAAAGACTTTTCTTTGGTCTATAATATCTCATGGATTCACACTCTCAAAGCAACATCTCTTTCATATGGATTATTCACATTTCACATTTACATACTTTGCACCACCATTTGGTACTTTGCGAGTGTGATAGGAAGATTTACTGCTTGCCTTGTAGTTGGACATCTTGGAGCTCAAATTCCCACGTGACTACAGCCTCTCGTAAATCAAATCTACTACAGTGGGGTAAACGAGGAATAAACAAAAGAGACCGAAGCATCAAGGTGGTACATGATGCCCACACATTTCTTTTTCTCAGGTGATCTAATTCTGCCTGCTACAAGTGTCGCAAGCTTATAGGAAACAAATTCTTCTCAGTCAAGTAAGCTTTCGATCAACAAAAAAATATGACTCACCCATGGGAGGAGGTTGATCACTGGGAGAAGGAACACATATATAATCTATGCCCGCGGGGTTTTTACAACCTACACACCAACCATTCAATATCAAAGAATGAAGTTCAAGTCAGAAACTATATGAGGGCTGGAAGGCTTAAGACTCGAAAGACACTGACTGAAAGTATGGCCTGAAATGAAATCATACTGAGCGCAGTGTTGATTACTTGGGCCGGCTTTGTTTCTTTTCAATCGACAGCCAGAGAATGGACTCCATTGATTATCTTACATTATATAAATGTTCAACGGATGTTTGAAAATACGATTTATGATCAGATTCGAGCTTAAAGGTGGCGATGGTGTATTGCAAAATTACATACTTTGACACCAGCATCTTGAATGAGGGCAATTATAGTTAACCACCTTAGAATCATCATTATCCTTGCATACTTTCAATTTCAGCAATAAAAAAACAAGTCTCCATTAATCCTGAACCTCGATCATGCAATGAGGGAATGAAGACTCAAATCAAATCACATACGTGCAGTACCGTCTTGGTTTATTGTGAATCCTGCGCGACACGTAGCACTTAAAGTACCTATGGTCGACACCCTGAGAGTATGGATACACAAGCACAAGAGTAAAGTTGAGATCTTTAGGAAGGATTGTAACATTTTTGTCAAAAAAGTGAGTAGAGGCGAAAATGGTGTGTGTTGAATTCAAAACGGTCTTCAGGGGATCGAGATATGACCGAGAAAAAATAAGATGATCGGGAGCCTAGGAGGACAAAACAGTAAGCAGTTCGATCCTATACGCATAGATATAGAATTTGCCACAAATCGCCGCTTGTGGATTGTGCTGTTAAAGGTTACACCGGCGGTACGAGAAGCGCCACCCTGCGCCACCTGGTCCCGCGTGTAATCTTTACCCTTTTTATTCCTGCTGGTTCGAGGTGTGGCTCGCCGGATTGAGATACGTAGGAGGACCGCATGCAGCCATCCATGCAATGGGTTGATAAGCCGATCTCAATCGGCATGAATCGACGGAGTGAGTGAGTGAGAACTGTGAAGAGTCAGGACCCTCGAATGCGGTAGAATGCGGTTATGGACTTTGACAAAAACCGCTTTGAGGATTTTGGGCTCTACACTCCACACTAGTGCAGTTCTCAAGGTTTCAAGCATTGGAAGAGATGAACACCAGCGAGACTGATCCGATCACTTCCGCTGGCCTCATTTCGACGTAAAATGGAAGGGTGCAAATTTCTTTGCGTCCCACAACAAGGACAAAACCTGACTCTAATATATTGAGTGTTACAGGACCTCCGGAACCATGAAGGGTCCAAATTGAGTGCATTTGGAGGCCTTCATTTAGACCCGTCTTGTGCGCTACTACACTTGTTGAAACCGTGTAGTATGATCTTTATGTGTAGACCGGAAAGATCAAGGAGTTTGAAAAGTATTTCTGTCGCGACAAATGATTAATCATTAAAGGCGTGAAAAGAGGTAAAGGTGACGCGACTCCACGAGGAGAGGCAACGTTCAGGTCACGTGATCAACTACATAGTGGTGGTACTCGCTCAGATTTTACGAACAAACGATTTGAATTTGAATTTGTTCTCTGTAGATACACACTTTCATTTCATATTCTCCAATACCTCATTCTCAAAAACACAAGCATCCAACTTTCCTTTATCAAAGAATCTATCAAGACCTGATTCCAACTGATCCTTAACTCGCAATCAAGCAAACCCAAAGTATGTTCAAATCATTTTCAATCATATGAACAAAATACTCCAATCTGATCATCTTTCGAACATCAGTGGATCAGGAAACAACAAAAACAACTGAAGAAGTTCCTATACCATTTCAAGATGTATCATTAGACGATTCAAAAGGAGAAGAAAAACAAGAAACTCGAGATAAATTATCACGATTGAACTTTTTACTAAGAGCTAGTGGAATTTATAGTCAAATCATCTCACAAAATGTTAATGCTTAGAATCTTGATATCTTTTTTTGTTTGTGGAATTTGAAATGGTACTGATGTTTTCTGTTTAAATTAATAGATAGAACGCGAAAGAGCTTCACGTGAAGCAGCCATTAAGAAACAAACTGAAAAGTCGAATGAAAGTAGTACAAAATCTCAATCTATCAAACCACCAGAAAAACGTGATAATACTAGAAAATCATCCAGAACTTTGAAGAATGAAACCGATCAACCTAATGAACCGATCAGCAAATCTAATCAAACGCGATCAAGAAGGAAAAACGCGAAAATTGAAAATGCTAAAGAGGCTGAACTAGAAACGGCAAAGGTCACTCAACTGATTGAAAATGCTCAATCCAACGAAGCCCAAGACGAAAAATCAGATCAAAAACCCGAATCAATTCCTAATCATGTTGGTCAACCTGATCTCTTATCTGGTGTAACCATGAGACCATATCAACTAGCTGGTATGCATTGGTTAGCCACACTTTATGAAAACGGTTTAAATGGAATCTTAGCCGACGAAATGGGATTAGGAAAAACTTTACAAACGATCAGTTTTTTATGTTATTTAAGAGAAAGAGGAGTTTGGGGACCATTTCTAATAGTTTGTCCATTAAGTACAGTAGCTAATTGGGTGAATGAATTCGAAAGGTTTTGTCCTACTGTACCTGTTGTACTTTATCATGGATCAAAAGATGAAAGAAATACTTTAAGAGCTGAAAGAATGTCACCACCTGAAGATGATCCTAAAGCTTGGTTAGGTAAACCGATCAATAAACGAAGCAATAAACGAAACAATTTGAAATCAAATCTTACAGCTTGGACTTCAACTAATACAAAAGAAACGTTTCCTGTAGTGGTGACTTCATATGAGATTGTGATGAATGATCGTCAATATCTTTCTCAATATGCTTGGTCTTATATTGTTGTTGATGAATCACATCGATTGAAGAATTTAGAGTGTAAATTGGTTCAGGAATTGAAATCTTATACTAGTGCTAATCGATTACTCTTGACGGTAAGGTGTCCTTTTACAAGAAGATCCACAATCAGGATCACCATCAAACTAAATCATTCTCTTTGCGTGAATTGTCCAGGGAACGCCATTACACAACAACTTGAAAGAGTTGTGGTCATTACTTAACTTGTTAGTACTCCTATCCTTTGAATCTTTATGATGACGCGTCGAACTTTTGACTGATAATTGTTTTCGCACAGTATCTTACCTGAGATCTTTGATGATTATTCTTCGTTTGAACAATGGTTTGACCTTTCGTCCGTCACAGCGGCTACAGATTCAGCTGCTGCTCTTTCTTCTGCTCAAGCCCAACATATCGTCAGAAATTTACACGCAATTCTGAAACCATTCATGTTACGTAGAATGAAGAGTGAGGTTGAAACATCATTGCCAAAGAAGAAAGAGTAAGTTTCCCATTTCCACATGAGAGTGATTCCCAATCTACTTTTTAGTCATGTTTACCGTGTCTGACCTTATGACATTTGGATGATTGATTTAGGTACCTTTTGACAGCTCCACTGACAGCACAACAGAAAGAATTGTATGAAGCAGTTATCAATAAATCATTGAGAACCTTACTAGTCAATCAAAAGTCAAAAGCCGCTGAAGAAGCCGAGAACTTGAGCTCAAACAAACGTGAAAGGTCTAATTCACACTCTTCAAAAGCTGAAGAGATCGAGTCATCAAAACGGATTAAAATAGATGAAGATAGTTCAGACGAAGACACTCCATTAGCTAGCACCAAGAAACCATCTCAGAGAAAATCATTAGGAAGACAAACCAAAGACGTCAAAAAGTTACATGGTTATACTGAAGTATCAGATCAACAATTCTTTCAAGATGTTGAAAAAGGCGTTTCTACTGAGATTGATTATAATTTACAAACTCAATCAATTCAATCGGTTCAAGGAAAAAACAAAAATCAATTTGAAGCTATCAAAAGTGTAAATCAAATGAAATTACAAAACGTGATGATGCAACTTAGAAAAGTTTGTAATCATCCTTGGTTATTTGATTGGCCTATTGATCCTACCACTGGAACTTATTCAGTTGGATCTGGTTTGATTACTTCTTCTGGTAAGATGTTATTACTGGATAAATTATTACATGTTTTATTTGATAGAGGTCATAAAGTTTTAATCTTTTCTCAATGTAAGTTTTTAAAGTTAATGTCGTCTTCATGGAAAAAAAAGTATCGTAAATTGATGTTGAATTTTCTTTGAATTAGTTACTAGTATGCTTGATATTATTCATGATTGGGCTAATGATTTGAAAGGATGGAAAGTTTGTAGAATTGATGGGAGTACTAGTCAAGATGAACGTAGAGCACAAATGAAAGATTTTAATCAAAATCATGGACCTGATGGTGAGAGTTTAAATCTCAAATGATCTGATGATGCATTCTTCAATCTCACACCTGATTTCAAACTTTCTCTATGATTGATTGGTTTTTAGGATGCAGTCTATTTTTATTATCTACAAGAGCAGGAGGAGTCGGAATTAATTTAGTAGCAGCAGATACGGTGATTTTGTTTGACTCAGATTGGAATCCACAACAAGATTTACAAGCTCAAGACCGAGTTCATAGAATTGGACAAACTAAACCTGTCTTAGTATTTAGATTAGTAAGTGGTAACACCATCGAAACTAAGATGTTGCAAAAAGCAAGTCAAAAGAGAAAATTGGAAACTTTAGTGATTGGACATGGATTTGATTTGACTAAAAAGGAGGAAGAGGATGAAGAGGATGAGGAAGGGAACGGATCAGAAGATGATCTTCAAGAGATCGTATTTGGTAAACGTAGTGTAAAGAGCAAAAAGAAAAGTATGAAAGATTTAGCTGAAGCTATTTTAAAGAATGATGGAGAAAAGATCGTTTTAGCTGAAGTTGGTGATGAGATCTTAAGTGATCAACAATTGGAAAGTTTATTAGATAGAAGTGTGAGTGAAAGTTTGATTTAAAGAAACAGAAAAAGGCTTCAGAAAAATTGATGAAGAGATTTTTCTTTTTGATCTTATAGGATGAAGTTATGGAAAGTAAATTAGGTTGGAATTGTGATAAAGATGAAAAGGATGATACAAAGAAAGGTTTGATTGGAGTTGAAGTTTTTGAAACTAAAAAAACGAAAGATGTATTTTAATAGAGGGGTTTCCCTATAGATGGATAGATTGTAGGATTGATTTAACTTATGTTTTCATTTTAGGTATAATGATCATTTTTTCTTGGATTTTGATTTTTACTTATTTCCATATAGACCGTCTTTTGGATTGCATTGAGTGTGGATATCTCTTTATATAGGATTAAATAGGATTTTTATATTTTACATTTGTTTTTGTCGTTGTTTTTTTAATTAGGTTGGGATTAGATTTAATTGATCAAGGTTCAACTTGAAGATTCTTTGTTTTTTTTTGACAAAGAATACCATTGGAATTGAAGTGAATGAATATAACCAATGTCTATCCATAGGAAAAGTAATTTTTCATAGAGAGTTAGAGGCTATAGTCTACAACGTGACCATGAACTTTTCATCTAACTTGACTACAAAACTTATTTTCCAGTCTTAAGGAAAAAAGAAAACAAGATAAGAGGTAGGTTTTGGTGAGAATATTTGTTAGTATCCATAAAGTAGGAAGAGAGTCAGAGAGGAAAGAGAGCATTTATACGTCAAGAAGTGAATCCTTCTTGATTCAAAGTTATGCACTCTTGCCAAATTTTGGGAACACAAGTGAATTGAAAAAGATAAGGAAAAATTGTTGAACTAGTAGTAGGGGCACAGCATGCATGTTGAGATGACAAAATGACTTTTCACTAGTTTTGGGCCTGCAAGATACATGGATCTTTGTTGCATGGAAATGCATGTGTTATTAAATTGCAAGCGGTCTATTCTTGGCAATTGGGTAGGCATTTTGTGAGCCACGTATTATTCTCATCACTCTTCCGCTGGATCTCATCAATATTGCAAACAAATAGGACTTCCTGCAAACACATAGGACTCCTGGGGTTTCATTCAGCTTCAGTTGTACACGTTGACGACTGAGTTGATTGTGTAGACAAGTTCATGAAAGCAATCAGGCATTGAGGTGAAGTAGCATGGTATGTTGCAGCATAGATCATGAGATGAAAGTTGAAGAGGATAAAGAGAAAGATCTAGAAGGTGAAGTATCCGCCAAGTCAAATTAAATTTGACCAAACTGAACTTTTTAAAAGTACAAATACACTTTTAGCCAATTCAGACTGACTCAGCTGACAAGAATTCAATCAACTCTAACTTTCTTTAACCCTTCAACCAGCTTCATCCTATAAGTTATCGAACATCAAATCACCATTCTCACCATCAACACCGAAGAGAATATCGATCTTTTAACAAATCATGCCACCTACTCTTCCACCTCGACCGAATCATCTTCAAAGTGCCATTCCAATAGAACAACAACAACATGAACCAAGTCTAGATTCAGATGAACCACCACCAGCTTACACGGCTACTGCTACTGATCAAAACAAAACAGTAGAATCAGGTCCATCTTATCCATTCGGACCTACCGAACCACAACCCCATCAACAGTTTATACAACCTCATCCTAACTCACAAGGATTCAATCATCATCAGCCTTTTCAAAGTTATCCAAACCAAGCTTATCATCCTCATCCTCCACAACATCCTTACCACCAAACCCATCCAAACCATTATCCAAATCAACCATTATCCTCAACTTCAACTTCATCTAACTTTCCTCCATCACCATCAAACGTAAATCTCGAACCTACCAGGATTCCAACTCATGGTAGACCTTTACTTCATGATGATAGAGTATTAGTCTACCCACCTTCAAATGTATTCTTTTGTTCGAAATGTTGTAACACAGGTTACAAAGGTTTTGATCCAGCAAGACCATGTAGAAAAGTAAGTGTTGATCTATCCTTTTGTTTTATTAGTACACCTTTTTTTTTCTGATTTTCGATTTCTTTTCTTTCAAATTTGATTACAGTGTTGGGAAAAGTATGGAAAACTTTGGTCAACAGTTAAAGTATTATCAAATACAAATCAATTAAATTTACAAAGACCATTACCACCCATTCAAGGAATTCCAAATAATCCTACATCAGCTTTGATCGTCAGACCAGGTGATTCACGTATAGGTGGTAGATTATGTTGGAATTGTAATGGGAAAGGTGAAATTGAAGATGAAGGTTTATTTGGTGTACTGTTTACGAGTTCTGATCGTTGTAGAGTTTGTATGGGAGCTGGTCGGACATTTTAAAATCGAATTCCGAAAAATGTACGTTGATGATTTCAAAACAAATGATTTTCTTCATTGTTTTTGTTTGTTGTTGTCTAATGTTCTAATTTACGCCATGATCAGGTGATGAACAAGGTTCTAGATACATGAATCACTGGACGATCAACCTTTTGGACACAAGGTATTGAAGATCCTTAACTCGCATTCAAGAACGATCAAAGCCCAGAAGAAAATATCAAGAGATAAACACGCTTTCTTTACTCTACTATCACTATTGACAAATGTTTATCAAACATGCTTGAATTGATTTCAAAAATTGAAAAAATCTAAATATGCGTTTATAATTAATCTTGTTTGTTGTTGTTCTCATCTGAAGTATGTTTGTCTTTGTTGTTGTTCTATTGTTGTTGTTAAATTACATTTTATTATTTAAAATGGTCGTTAAATTCAAAGAGTGTGTTATGGGGGCTTTTCCATAGTCTAAAAGACGACATTTTTTCTTCAAGATTCAACTTGTTCAGGTCTTAGTAGCAATGACTAATTAGATATCGTCCATGCATTTCTTCATTATTAGGAAGTAGTAAGAAGAGATCTTCACTCTTCAAAGAAACATGTGAAACAAATCACATCGCTTTCAAAGGATTCAAATCTTGAAATCTCATTTGATTGTGCCTAGTGCCTACCAGCCAGCCAGCCGCACAATGGCCACAATCTTACTGGCAGCAGCCGGAGCCAGAGCCGTCGTAGACCCGGACTGCGGAAAGACGTCATGGATTCGTGGCCCAGTGGTAAGGCGCTCGCCTTCGATATAGGCGTAGCGAGAGATCGTCGGTTCGACCCCGGCCGGATTCAATTTTTTTCCGTGTTCCGCAACACATGGATCGCGAGAAGCCCTCGTCTCCAATTTTTGAACTAGATGAATTGAATGATTGACAACGTTGTACAGCCCTTTGCATGATTGATGACTTTGGAGAAAAAAAACCTTGAGTTTTCAACAAAAAAACCTCGAGTGTTTTTAAAAAGTGACCGAGTTTTTTCAAAAAACTACCGAGTTTTTGAAAAAACCAATCAGTTTTTCTTGAAATTTTCAAATGTCAATGAGCTTATGAAAAACTCAGTAGGCTTTCAAAAAAACTTGGTCACTTTTTAAAAAAACTCTAGATTTTTTTTGTTGCAAACTCAAGGTTTTTTTTCTCCAAAGTCATCAATCATGCAAAGGGCTGTACCAAAAGGCAAGTTAAAAGAACGTATTATGATATACAATGACTATTTTGGATCTGCAGTTGTAGACAAAGAATACAGACTCTGACAAGCATCTAATGCATGTTTCTCCCCAAATGATCTCTTAAACATTGGAGAAAAGTAATCACACCACAAGAAAATCTGGTAAAAACAATTACTTTGATCCTATTCTCTCAAGATGTATACATAGATCAGTAGCACTACTTAGCTGTATTGGAAAAATCTTGGAAATAATAAAAATGAAATCGTAAACCAAAAGTAGATCAAAATTTTCTATCATACTATTACAATGTGTGTTTCTTTCTTTTTGCAAATCTCCTCTTAGAGCATCCACAGCCGTGCCGTAAATTTGTATTGTACGGAGCGCCGCACGGATCGTTTAGGCAAGTGTTTGAGGCATAAATTTCAAACAATGCACAGCCGTGGTGTTGTACAGTACGGCTTGTAGCATATTTTGTGAAGTGAGTTATGGGTTAATTGATCATCGAGGGAGATATTCTGCAGGGAGTGTGGTTGTGGAAGTGGGAGTTATGGGAGAAGCGAGGTACAGATGAATTTAGGGAGCGAGCCAAAATAGAACATATTTGGCCTATTTTGGCTCGCACAGAGGGAATTCCCTTAGCTACGTGAAAATTTAGGGCATTGGCTGTGGATGTTTTTGCCCTAAATTTCCATACGACACGGTTTACACCACACGGCTGTGGATGCTCTTATGAGCCCAGCTTGTGCCACCGTGACGTGAGCCACGGACTGGCCCCGGTCTGATGCCAGCTAAAATTCATACCAACGCCTGATGTAAGCCATTAGTCGGCTGAAGGCATCCAGCTGGCTGACGTGCGCCATCAACCAAACTCCCATCCAATCCTCTGCTCTGTTGAAATAAACTGTTAAGTTGGTGTGAATTCTTTTGATTACGTTCAAGAACTTACAAGTTATGAAGATATCCAATTAATCAATTCATTACGTAAAATATGTCTGGAGCTAGAATGTAGTGTTGAATGTTGAATACTTTAATGTGTGAAATCTAAGAAGAGTGTAGTTGAACTTGAGGTCGGATAAAGATTTTTAATTGATGTGATAGTTCATAGTGTTTCTTTCTGTTTGCTTGTGATTTTTGATGTGATGTGTTTTGAATCTGTTGAAGTGTTTTTCTTATATACCAGACTGTCTTTCACCTTTAGAATCTTTTTCCTCTTGTTGAGGAAAATATTCTAAAGGTAGGGTATTTGTTTTTCTAATCTGATTATTCTTTTATACTGAATTATTTGACAACACTGTTGGTGTTCTGTGTTGTTGTTATATTCTCTTTTTAGTCTGTTATTCTTCTTTGTCAGGTACGTGAGCGTCATGCTCTATTTTTGTCTCAATCTTTCAGCTGTGTCTTGTCAACACATTAAGATGAACCTTTTATTGTTCACCTTATAAAAAGGTGTTAGGTCATTTTTTGTCTAAATCCTTTATGCTCATCCAATCCAGCAGATCTTCCACCAACAATGTCAACCCGTTCACGTCATCTAGCCAAAAACATGTAAGGCCCTTGCTTCTGGGCAACCAATTCAGGATATTCCCACAGGAAAGTCACACCATTATACATCATTGAACCCGTCAACAACCAATCTAGCCTACTTTTGTGAAAGCCTGACAGTTACGGCTGATGTCCCACAACATTGAATTACGCAAGTATCTAGCCTCTACACCATTCAAGAATGTTCTTCACACAATGATTAGGTTATATAAGGGTTTACTTCTTGGCCAAATTTCATGTTTGTTTGTGATTCACCTGTTGAAAACTTCAATTTTTATAATACTCTTCACACATTAACATCCTCATCCTTTTGTACGCTTCTTTTTGAATCAACCAAATCAATTTGCATCATGTCATTAGTCCCCCACACCAACGCCAGAACCAATACGACACAAAAGTCGGTGTCGTATCGGTATTGTATTGCCAATCCGACATGAAATTTCGGATTTCTCCATGTTGGTTCAGCCGACCCAACATGGAGACGCCCCAGAAGTCATGTCGGGTATCGGCGACGCAATACAGGCCTGAACCGATATGATATTGCACATATCGGCTCGAGTCTAGGCCTTCCAGGCCTTCGCAAGACCCTGCGTTGCTCCCAAGTCTCCCACTTTTGACCACATCCGGCACTCAAAACCAACTAGTCTTGAATCAATCGATCTAGTTGGTCATGGTGCCACCCAGGAGGTCTGACCGCTGGGTCTTCCTGCGTTTCCACTCTCAGGCTATCACCAATCCGACCATGCTGAACCATTTCTTGCTGCTTTACATTGCTTCACCTAACTTTATCATATCTCGCTTAGTACTTTCATTCGTATCTTCTGTCACTGATTCATATTATCATCACTTCGGATCTATCAACAAATTGAGCTACTCAATCATGGCATCGTTGTCAAACCAATCCGACCTTTTGGAAGTTGAAGATACCCCGTCCAGCTCGAAGGATACTTCCAATGCGACTCCTTCAACCCGATCAAAGAAACGTAAACAACCAGCATCTAAACAAACCAGCATGAAGTCTAAACGCCAAGCAGTTCAAAATGTAAGTATCATCACTTTATGATCATCATCCAATAGGTGTAGATGAAACTGATAATTACTTGAAAAAATCACAGAAACCTAGACCTGATTCTGTTCCTGAAGGCCTCGACGTTGACCAAGACTCCGATATCAAATTTACCGGCAAAACCCATGCTGAACCCAAATCTCAAGGTCATACTGCACGTGTACGTGAGCTGCTTAAGTATTATGAAAACCCAGTCGAATGTCCTGATGAAGTAAGTGGTGTCCAATTTGGATTGACCCTTCCTTTTATTTGGAGTATTTAGGTATTACAAGTGTCGGTTCTGTTGTGAATCCTTCGCGAAGTGTGCTAATACCTATCAGACTTTATACGGCCATTGCGACGGCGCCGAAACTCAACCAGTATGTGTCAAACAACACCTTGCAATCAAGCAAGGTTTCAAGCTCGAGCTATCTTGGGCAGAACAACAAAAGGCTAAGCAGAATCAATCCAACACGTTGGATCAATTTGTGGTTAAACAGCCCTTTGGTGTCAAGAATATGAACCTTATGCTGGTCATATGGATTCTTCAGCACGCGCTCCCTTGGGCGCGATTTGAAGATACCACTCTTCGGGCAGCATTGTGGTATTCCAATCCATTAGCCACCATATACTCATCAACATGGGCAGCTCAAGCAGCTCAGCGTTTATATATTGGACTTCAAAAGCAAGTCATAAAGGATCTCTTTGTATGTTATCTTTGTCTTTAATGTTTTTCTTTCTTTATGTTTTTATTTAGAGTGTCAAACATGTTCTGATTTGATGCTTCCACAGGACAACAATAGTACTTTTTGTTTGATGCATGATGGGTGGACCACCAAAGGTCGATGCCATGCGTTTATTGGAGCTAGTGTGTCTTATATTGATAAGAAATGGAAGTTCCAGGTCCGCCATCTCACACTGAAGCTGGTGACATGGAACCACTTCGGTGTGTTGCTTGCTTGACCGCTTGCTCGATTCCTTGTACGCCATGGCCTACACAAAAAAATAAGTTATTAAATTCTTTATCATTTATTAAACAAAAAAACTGACATAAATTGTTTTTAAATTCAATACATGCTTGCACAGTCAACCGATTCAGGTGCCAACAACAATACGATGGCCGTCGAGATGGCACGCATCTTTGAAGAATCCGATGACCCTGTGAAATGGGACGCGAAGGCCAATCATGTGCGTTGTTATGTGCACAAG